TTGAATTTTAATTTGTTATATTTAAAAGATACTCTACTATTCTACCTCTAATACCTTCTCCTTCTTCGTAATTTGTATCTATACTATCATCATTTTAAATATTTCTCTTCTTAATTTCTTATTATTATTATTATTATTATAATTTTCTATCTTAATTTCTATTTATTAAATATTAATTTTCTGATTATTATTAATCTTCATTATATACTTTTATAGTAAGTTTCTCTGAATTTTTAGTTGAATTCTAAATTGATTCTTATTCAATCTCTAATTCTGTTAAAATATTATCTTTAGTTTCTTTCTTTTATTAAAAGTATTTCTTATCAAAATTTTGATTTCTACCTAAACACTTAATAAAATTCAAAATATTAGAATCTACTTTCTATTCTTATATCTCTTATAAAACAGCTTCCATATCAGATTCAGACATTATTTCAGCTATATCATTCAATATTTTAAATAAAAAATTACTCCAACTTTCATGTTTACCTTTTCCCATCTTCAAAATCTAAATTATATCACTTGTTTAAAGTTAATTATTTCTATATAAAAAACGAATTATTGGATTTGAACGTTTAATTAATTCAAAATGAGCTTTTTCTCCAAATAATTCTTAAAATATTTTATTCTTAACTAAAAAATTTATTAAAATATCCTTCATTATATTATCATCATTTATTTGACCTACTTCATAATTCATATTACAATCCATAAAATTTAATGGAGTTATTTTTTCACAAATCTATTATAATCCTATTATATAAAATTATAATTTACCAAAAATACGTTTTTCAAATGTATGACATCTAAAATAATGTAAATATATGTTTAATTCTGTTTATCCAATTATTTCTTTTGTTTCTCTTATTGTATAAAATGGAAATAATGCTTTTTCAAGTGTTTCATTTAATCTTTTAACCTATTCCTTAGTAGATAATTTTATATCTTCTTCATTAATTTTTAAATATAATAATTTTAATTAATCTTTAAGTCCCTAAAAATAATTAATAAATTTTTATTTATCAACAAAATTACTAAAATAATTGAATACATCTAAAATATCTAAATATAACATTTAAAAATTATTTATTCCATCAATTAATAAAGCAAATCCTCCATTTTTATAAAAATAATGCATTTAAATTCTCAATAATGGTGATAAATGAATACTAGATTTATTTTTATGAAAATCTTCTAAGATTTCTCCTTATAATGGATAATAACTTTAATAAGAATAATCTAAATCATTTCCTTATACAATATTATGCTCATTTTAAACATGTGCCATATGACGTTCTAAATAATAATTTGATAATGCTTATTTGAATTAACTTTCATTAAAATGAGAATCAAAAAATTTGACTTCAGGATAAACAAAGATTCTCTTAAATATTGCTAGACTTATTGTTGGATATTGTTTCCAAATATTTAATGCTAATCTTTAAATCATTAATAGAATTTCATTAAAGTAGCATTATACTTTTAATTATCTTTGATCTGTAAATAATTTATTTAAAAAACTATCCATTATTGGTAATACTCTTTTGTTAAAATATGTATTGAAATCAGGATGAATATTAGCTTTATTGAGAAGTATTGCTTTTATTTCTATTTCTAATTCTAAGAGAATAGGCATCCATCTCGGCATTATACCTATTCATATTTTGTATAATACTGCTTTGTAACTCATTAATATCTGATTAATGATCTCTATCATTAATATTAAGTATAACATCTGTCTATTCTAATTCTAGAATCCTATTCAAATCATAATTAATTTCATAAACATTCATAGATTGTATTGAATGAGGATTAGGATCAAATTACCCATGATTTGAATTTGTAATGATTTACATTTCACGAGACTTCATTTTATTGTCATCTTCACTTTAATTTATTTAAACCATTGGGATATATTTATAATAAAAAATATTATTAGTATAGTAAATATAATTAACATAAAAAAAACAATTTATATAATTAAATATGATAAATCAATAGATTAATAAAAATAAATCAAGTATTTCTAAAATATAGATAATTATATATCTAAATAATATAGTATAAATTGATTTAAGAGAAATAAAAATAACTAAGTAAAATCATAATTAAAACCAAGGATGAGCAATAACATCTTCTAAATTAGGTCTTTTATATGGATTTTATTGCATCATTTAAAGTGCAATTTCTTTGGATTCATTATTATTTATCAATTCCAATAATATAACACCTAAACTATAAACTTCAGTAGGGTATGGAAGATAAGATTAACCATCAATAATCTCTGGAGCTACATATGGTTTAGTTCCATAAAATTCAGCAACTTTCTATTTGCCATTAGTAACTAAACCAAAGGCAAAATCAATTAATATTGGTTCATTATTTTAAACAAGTACATTATTTAGATTTAAATCTCTATGAACTATTCCTAATTCATGAATCTTTTACAAAGCTACTATAAATTTAATAATTATACTTTATAAAAGTTTATAGTAGAATTATTTAGTAATTCTTTCACTATTTTTATCCAAAGGTTGAACATCAATATATTCTAAAATTAGGAAATAATTGTTTATAGTTCTAGTTCTTCTATTATTATTATCAATAGTGGTGTAGAATCCATGTCCAATTAATTGTACAACATTAGAACAACCTTATAATTTGGTAAGGATAGTTATTTCAGTATCATAAGTTTTTCTGCATTCAGATTAAGTTAAATTCTTAATTGATAATTTCTTTATTGCTACTATTCTATCAGTTTAAATGTGTCTATATAAATCAACACTATCAAAATAGAATAAAATAATTTACTTTGAAGTATATCCTGATCCAAGATTTTTAATAAATTCAAAGTCATCTAAGGATTAGAGTTCTGGATATAGCATATGTAGGTTATTTAAATAAGTCTTATTAGAATTATTTAAATTTGGAACATAAATTTCTATTTTTATTCAGATTTAGTGCGTATTATCATAAAATATCAGCAATAATTCGTAATTAATAAGGTGATCATTTTAATTCTGATTAAATTATTTAAAAATTATATCAATTATTAAAATAATTATAAATAGGTAATACATAAGAGTTTTAGACAATTAAGATTTTAAATAATTCTTTTATTATTGATTTTAAAGTCTTTATTTTAAATAAATGCTTATTAAATAAATATAAATGAACTTGAAATGATTTAAAATGCAATCAATTTTCTATAATTTAACGATATAAAATTTATATATTAATTAAATTAGTATAGAATATTGAAATGGATTCTTAATAAGATGTTGAATGTGATTAATGTTAAACAGTTCCAGAGACTTATGTAAAATTAGAATGTGAACATAAATTTTGTTTGATATGTTTGGCTTACAATTACTTATAAATTTAACAGGAGAAGCAAAATCTAGAAGAACTTGAAAGAGTAGCAGTATGTTTTAAATGCAATCATCTTACTAAACTTGATTAAGATACAGTTGAAGCTCTTCATATGGTCATTAAGGAAATTATAGTTCCGTTAATTGAATAAAATTAAATTAACCCTAAATCTAATAACGATAGTGAAGTAGTTGAAGTAATTGATGATTTACATGATTTGGGAGTATAAAATATTGGATCTTAACATTAATCAAATTAGAAGAATGCAATGGCTAATGAAAGACTTTAATTGTATTTAGAGAGATTAGAAAAGAGTTTTAAATCTAAATTTGAAGCTATTAAGGATATTCAAGATCAGAAATATTAATTTTAATCAAAATGCAAATAAACGAAAGATGAAATCAATAGTCAATATTAATAAGTAAATATTACAATATTCATTATTAGTTTATATTGAGTTTAGAATAAAAGAAAAATTAAACGTTTAATGATATAAATAGTTTAGAAATGATTCAATTATTGGAAATTTAAAAATAAGAAAAAGATCTTGAATAATAAATATAATAAATGGCATAATTTTAAGAAGAAATTAATTCATTAATCTATTAAAATTTAAATAAGTCTTAAGAAGATATAAGCAAATTATTAATTGATATAGAAAAGAGTTTAAATGTTCCTTCTTCATCACTTTAAATTGTAATCATTTTTATTATAAGATTATAGAAATCATCAATATTAGCTACTTAGAGATAATTACTTAAATTATCAACAAATGCTTAATCCTAATTATGTGCAACTGTTCCTAATTTATTATAAGATTTTCCATAATCTATAAGATAAAAAGAATTATTTAGTAAAAACTCAAATTCAGATGAAAAACCTATGGATTCTAAACTCAATGTTCATTTTGAAAGATAGGATAGATTAAGCAAATTTAGTCCTATAAAATCAGAAAAGCTTAATGAATTATGGCCTAAAAATGATAAACCTCATCATTAATCCTTAGAAAAAAATACTATTAGAGAGAGTAAAGATCTTCATGAGTTTAAGGATTATAGAGAAAGGGAAAAAGATAAGAAAACTTAAAAGATATTAACTTAAGAGAGTGTTAATGCAAATCCAAAATCAAAATTTAGATATGAAGATAGTGATGATAAAAATAAGAATAATTAAAAAAAAATGATTGATAGTCAAATATCTTAAAAAAATAATTTAGTAAGTAAATGGAAAGATTAATTATTTGATGTATTTGATAAAAAAACCATAAAATAAACTGAATCCCCTAAAGCACCTGAAAAACTTAATTATGCCACTCGTGATGTTCCTTATCATAGAGAATCCTCTACTCATTATCCAAGAGAAAATAAAAACTCATAAGAAAAATTGTCTTCTAAATAATAATTGATAAATCGTGCATGTACTATACATGATGTATTAAATATGTAATATCAAAATTTCATGACTTAAAAAGAAAACTTAATAAGAAGATGATCAATCAAATTATTCAATATAACTTTAAATAGAATCAAATATATCTAATTCTAAATCTAATGTTTTGAGTCTTTCTTTAAATTTTTAATTTCCGTTAAATTTAAATTCAGTATAATAAATGAATAATATTTCACCAGTCAAAATGAAAATATCTTTTTAATTCTCCAAAGATAAAAAAATATTTTATAACATTAATTCAATCTCAGATGATATTATTTATTATTTAGTACTAGCATAAGATACTTCATCCTATTAAATTACTGATTTTATGCACATTAAAATCTAAAATAAATAATAATATTACTTCTTCTAAATTAGTAATATCCAATCTATCTAAACAATATTCTATGCCATATGAAAGGTGTTAATAAATTTTAAAATCATAGAAATATAATCGAATTTAATAATTTGATAATAACAGATTCCGAATAAGTATATATAATCCTCCTTGGATTTTGTTATCCTTATTTAATTCAAAAATTATGGGAGATAAGAATTGATATGATATTATCTGCATTAATTATTCACCTTCTAAAAAAGATAAATTAATAAAAAAGTCAAGAACATACATTTTGTTATCTTTAAAATCATCTATAGCTTCTTAAATGTATTTATTCTTTATTAAGTAAGTAAAAAGATATTCATCATTTTAGATTTCTTCTGTTATTTTAATAAGAAATTTATAAAAATTTAGTTCTTCATATTATTTAAAGGTTTTAATGGATTATAACAATTTGAGTTATTATTAGTCAGAGTTCATTTTAATAAATTAATATGGCCAACATGAAATACACTCTAATAAATTGGGTATAATATCTAATTCTGTAAAACTATCAAGAATTTCTGAGACAGACATTAATAATTTAAATGAAACAAATTGTGTAAATGTTTCTGAGTTTTGTAAAGATAAAATATTAGTTATTGATACAATAAGCTATATAATAATAAGTTTCTTACATAGAATTATAAACTATTAATTTTAGTGTTATTTAACTATTTTATTAGTGCTTCAGACAATTTATATGATTGATTTGATAGGTCAAATTTTTCAATATATCTAAGAATGATGACTATAAGATCTTCATCATTTGTACTTTCTAGGAGAAGGATAGATTCTTGTAAGAAATCGGAATCAATTACATTAGCTTGTATTAATTATTCATACTTTTGAATTAATTATAAATTAGTATTATTTTGATGGACTTTTTCTCTAGCCAATTTGAAATGATTCTCTAATGCTTCTCTTCTAATGCTACATCTGAATTTTTCTCTTTTTTATAAAATCATTTTGAAGAAATTAAAATAAACTATTTATGTTTGCAATAATACTAAATAGAAGAATATTTTAAATAAAATTATTAAGTCTCCTTTGATTAATAATATGGGAGTATGTACATCTAACAATCAAAATAGTTATTTTATTAATAATACTAACTAAAAATTGAATAGGGAATAAAATTAGGACAATTATGAACCTCCATGTTTTGAAGAAGAGTAAATACATAGAGATAGTTTTAATTCAGAGACAAGTTTATTAGACACAGATGAGCTACATTAAAATTCTGAAAGAGCAACCTAAGAATAAAGTTAAAGGAAATTTGTAAATAGAATTGTTAGTTTACATGACACTCCAAATTCAAAAAGATACTATTTTGTATATGATTAAATGTATAATGTAAGACGTAAGGTACCAAAACTTAAAACAATCAATCAAAGCACTTTGATCCAAAAACGTAAGTCATAAATATTTTGATATATATATTAGTATTGTATTTAATTTAACATCTTATTAAATTTAATTGATTAGTAGACGTTTTAGTAATTCTAATACAAATGAATACATAAAAATATATTATTTAGATTTTTGATATTCTTAATTCTACTATAAATAAATATTACAAAAATTAATAAAAATAAAGAAGTTTTTTTCAAATATTTTAAAAGGATTAAAATTTATAAGGTTTTACTTTTATTTATTTTATATATAATACATGATAAATATAAGATTAAATGGGAATACTTAATTTAAAAAAAATAAATAAAAATATATATATATAAATATTTAATTAATATGAGATTATTGGTTCATAATTTACTAATGTGTAACAAATGTGATAAAAACAATTATCCACTTAAAATAGAAGTGAATAAAAGTGTAATAATGGAATTAGAATTCAAAAAAGATGCAATTTTAAAATTAATTCCAAAACTTGATTTTGAGGTATTATCTAATACAGTCAGAGAAGTAAAAAGAATAATTTATTTGATAGCTTGGATTCAAATAATTCCCTAAATAAATTCCTCCAAATGTGGAATAAGATTTAGCCTTCTTAAAAGATTTGCATCGTGTTTTATTTGAGGTAATAATTTAAAGAAAGAATTTTAAATAGACTCATATTATGGATGGTCAATTAACTTGTCCTAATCCATCATGTAAAAGAAATTATCCAATTACAAATGGAATACCTAATATGATACTTACAGAAGATGAACAATGATATAAATTTGTAATTTGTCAATAATAATAATTCTCAATGTATTTCAATTACTCTTATATTATTATTAGCTTTCTTAATTTATATAATTTAATAAATTTTTATTTTTTTTTTTGTCATTAATTAATATTAATGAGTAGCTAACTAAATTAATAATCAAATTCTTAAAAGCCTTTAAGATAACCACCTCTTCCAAGATTAAAACCAACAGAACAATTAGATCCACATCCACAATAAGTTAATGTCTTTGATCCATTAAAATATGTTAAACCTGGACTTAATAAGGAAGATGTCATAAAAATCAAAGAGTGTTTTGATATTTTTGATGATGATAAAAGTGGTGCTATTTCGTAACAAATATGACATATTATCTCTGTATAGACCTAATGAATTGAAAAATGCGATTGTTGCTTTAGGTATGGAACAAAGTATAGAGGATATTGTTAATATGATTCAAGATCTTGATTAAGATGGATCAAGATAAGTTGATTTTGAAGAGTTTTTATAGATATTTGGATTTTAAGGGTATATATAAATATTAATCTAAAGTTCAATAGAGGATGAGGAAGTATTAACAGATTTATATAAATAATTTGATTCATCAAAAGAAGGTAAAATTACTTATGAAGATTTCAAAAGAATTAATGAATTAGTTTCTGAAAGATATACTGATTAGGAATTAAGAGAAATGGTTTAATATGCTGATTTAAATAATGATGGTACTTTAAATTGGGATGAATTCAAAATTGTTATACAGAAAGAGAATTCTAATAATAAAAAATGAAAACATAAATAAAATAGTCAAATTTTATATGTCATTTCATTTTCCCTAACTGGAATACATTCTTCTTATCTAGTTAAATTTTATTTGTGTTTTTTTGGTTTTTTAATCAATCCACAATATCCACATAAAGCATCTTTTGTTTCAATCTAAAAAAATAGCATAAATAAGAAATTTCTAATCTAAATGAAAAATAATCCAGCCACTTTATAGATCAATATATTATATACATTCTAATTCGCTGATATCAATTGTATTTTTAACTACTTCAACTATTTAAGTGATTGTGAAAATAATAATGAACTTATTCAATTATGAGTCAATTTTATTAATAGTAAGTAGTGGACAAACAAGCAAAACAACTAATATTATATAGCTACAGATAGTGCTAAGAATAACTTTTGTTGGCTAATCAAATTCACATAAAAGTTCACCCGGTCGAGTTTGATGCATTATAAGGGGACTTGCTTAAATGATTTCTTTTTATTTACATTATCATAAATGATAGAGTTATTAATGTTAGACTTATTATTGAAGTTTCATTCAATTCTTTTCTACACTTTGAATACGTAATGCATAAAAAGAGAGTATAAATTGATAATTGAGTACCATGAATGATAAGTGCCTAAGAATATTATATTAAATTACTTATATAGTGCAAGTAGTATTATTAACAATTTTAGAATTCTAATGTTCATTAACTAACATCATTCCTATATTTTGTAATGCCACTAATGTTACTAATAAGAATTTAGTTTTCAAATATGGTATTTAATTTTGTATAAGTAGTAAATATGCTGTGATTACAAGGACATATTAGACAAATTGAATGGAACTAAAGACTATTATAGAAATGAGTGCAATTTAAAAAGCTCCCATTTTCAAATAAAATTAATATGCAATAACAATAAGTTGTTCTGAATTTTGAATATCTAAAACCAGCTTAATATTTGATTGATGCAATAGTACATGATCGTAATTATAATATTCAATGAATTAGCATAATATATAAAACGAAAGGAGAGATCTAAAAGTTAGAGAAGAATTTGGGAGAATGTACCATATGATGCTTATGAAAAAGAAAAGATGGCAGATTTTATGAAAATAGTAACAAAGAATAAAATATAATTACCTGCAGAGTATAATTAATTGATATCTTTATAATAGTTGGAAAGACTGTGATACATTGAAAATGGTTTATTGTGGCAAATTTAAAGATAAGAATTATTTAAAAGTCTTATAATCTCATTTAGCCTGGAGAGCAGTCCCTAATAATTTCTAACCAACTGATATCAATATTGCATTTTTACAAAAAGGCATAGTATATACTTTTGGAAGAGACAAATAGTAAAGACCTATTATAATAATGAATCTTGAATTAGTCAATTTGAAATAAGTAAATAAGATCATCAATCTTTAGTTTAGTGAAGAAGTCTATATTAATGCATTAAGTTATTATTTTGGTATAATAAAGAAAAACTGTTTTGTTCCTGGAAAAATAGAAAATTGGGTATTCATAATGGATACAAAAAAATTAGGACTTTCTAAATTTCCATTTAAAGTATTAATATAAAATACTATATGATAGGCAATTTAAATTGCAACCAAAACAATGTAAGTTAATTTTTGTGGTTGTTTAGACAAATTATATTTATTAAATCCTTCAAGTTCATTAAGTTTTTCCTGGAAAATGGTATCTGGTATTTAAATTATATTTATTTAAAGCTGTTGCTGATGCTGATACAATGGAAAAAGTATAAATGTTGAAACCAAATGAATATCCAAAAATTTAAGAGCGTATTCCTGCAAATTAATTAGAAGAATAATATGGAGGAAAAGTAGCTAATTTAACTAAATATTGGTAATCATCATTATAAGTAAGATTAGGCCACCTATTAATATAGAAATTCCAGGTGGATACACTGAAGAGATTTTAAAAGCAGTAGAATCTATGTAAACAGCTGAAATAGTAATTCAAAAAGAAGTTCCTGCTTCAGAAGAGGACGAATTGAAATTATAGGAACAAATGGCAAAAATTCAAATTAAGAAAGAAGATGATGATGATGATTGATAAAATGTTTAATACATTCAATAAATATAATATTAATATGAGTTTCTTTAGGTCTAAAAAGATGAAATATTATAGTTTAGTAATCCCAAGAGAGAGTGCTTGGGTTGTGATGAATGAATTAGCAAGATTAGATTAATTGCATTTTGTAGATTATGATCCATAATTGCCTATGATCAATAGACCATTTGCTAATTATGTAAAAAGGTATCCATAAAATTAATTAATATAAGATGTGATGATTCCTTATTTAAGTTAAGTTGTCTAGAGTTACTTCTTAAGGAATTCAATAAAAATCTTAATTATTGTGAGAATGTAGATAGTTTATTAGATTATTATTAATAAGTTCAATAAGATAGAATGAAACCAGGACATACTTATTTTGATGAATTGGAATAAGAAATAGAACAAAAAAAAATATAAATTCAAGAATAATCTGCTAATTTACAAAATCTATTGGATAGAGTAAATATAATAACAGAATAATAATTGGTTTTGGAAAATGCAAAAGAAATTCTAGGTCAATCTATGTTTTAATAGTATTATTATTATTTTTATTAATATCTAGATAAGTGCCACATAATCCAAATGATTATTAATAATTAAAATTTGGTTAATTAATAGGTGTAATAGACAAAGAAGAAGAAGTTAGATTTAAAAGAATTATATTTAGAGTTACTAAAGGCAATGCTTGGGTTTAAATTAAAGATTTAAATAATGAATAAATAGACAATTCTATTAGAAAATCATTTCACTTAAATTAAGTATATAATTCATATAATCTAGAATACTACATCCTAACCAAGATGTCTCTTTGTAATTGTTTTTCCTGGAGCAGAAGAATCAAGTTCTTTGAAAATTAAATTGCTTAAAGTGTGTGATTCTTTTAATAAATAAAGAATTGAGTATCCAAACTCGATGGATTAAGTTCAAAGAAAAATGATGGAATTAGCTTAGTAATTATAGGAATCTAAGAGTTTAATAGAAATGACAAAACAATAATTGGAATAATCATTAGATAAATTAGTTTTGTAGTAATAAGGATGTAATTGTTCTTATTTTGAATACATGCGTTTATATATATTAAAAGAGAAGTATCTTTACGTAAATTTAAATTACTTAACAATGAGAGGATCAATCTTTACAGGATATTTTTGGTTGCCAGAAGGAATGGAAATTATTGTAGAAGAAAAATTAAGAAATGCAATGATAAATAATAGAGATCATTATCCAACAGGTTAAATTTAATAAATCAAACCTTAACCATATACACCTCCTACTTATTTCAATTTAAATGAAGTCACTATGCCTTTCTAGGAAATTGTTAATACTTATGGTATACCTCGATATCAAGAAGTTAACCCTGGTTTATTTACTATAATAACATTCCCATTTCTATTTGGAGTAATGTTTGCAGATATTGCTCATGGATTCATGTTATTTCTATGTGGAATTTATTTAATATTTTGGAAAAATTATCTATTAAAATAAACAGATTCCATGTTCAATTTGATGATACCCTTTAGATATTTGATAGTATTGATGGGATTCTTTGCATTTTATAATGGATTCATTTATAATGATTATCTATCTATATCTTTGAATTTATTTGGTAGTTGTTATTCACCTGAAAAAGATGAATGGAAAAGAGAATCAAAAGATTGTGTTTATCCATTTGGAGTTGATCCAGTTTGGTAAGCTTCTGGTTCAAGTTTAAATTTTATGAATTCCTATAAGATGAAATTATCAGTTATTTTAGGTGTGATTCATATGTTATTTGGTATTTTGATGAAAGGAGTTAATACTTTATATTTTAAAAACTATCTAGATTTTTTTTGTGAATTTATTCCTCAATTATTATTCATGATTTGTACTTTTGGATGGATGGATTTTATTATCATTGTAAAATGGTTGAATACATACGAAAATAATACTGATCCAAGCATTATTGAAACTATGATTAATTAAGTCTTGAAACCATTTGATAAATCTGTAAATCCTGTTTTTCCAAATTAAGCTGAGTTTTAATTAAGAATAACACAAATCTTAACATTAATTGCTGTCATATGTATACCTTGGATGTTATTGCCCAAACCATTGATTTTGAGTTCCAAAAATGATAAACACAAAGTTTCAATGTCTGATTCACAATATTAACCTTTAGTATCTGATAAACAAGTTTCAGAATAGGATGAAGATAGTAATTAGGAATTTGATAATGATTTACAAAATGTAGCAAATCTTAAAAGTTTCTCTGAGTAAACTTAAGAAGAACATGATTCAGGTGAGATTTGGGTTCATTAAATGATTGAAACTATTGAATTTGTATTAGGTGGAATCAGCAATACAGCTTCATATCTTCGTCTTTGGGCATTATCTTTAGCACATGGATAATTAGCAGAAGTTTTCTATGACATGTGTTTGGCTGGAAAATTAGATATAGGAGGCATCTTAGGTGGTTTATTAGGAGGATACTTTTATATTGTGTTTGCTTTACTTACTTTTGGAGTGTTAATGACTATGGATGTTATGGAATGCTTTTTGCATGCTCTTCGTTTGCATTGGTATTGTATAGTTTAATGAAAGGGTTGAGTTTCAGAACAAGTTTTATAAAGCTGATGGATATTTGTTTAATGGGTATTCTTACAAAAAAATATTGAATGACTATCTAAAATAATCAAATTCAAAATGATATATTATTATTATTAAAAATGATATACAAAAATCTTATTTAATTTAAATCAATATAATATTAATTTATAATACAAAATCAATTAAATTTAAAAGATGAATCTTTTTTCTAAGATTTAAATCTTGGTTGCACTTCTGGATTTCTTAAATAATAAGGCACAAACTTTTTAGGTTATTATTACTACTATTATTATTATTCTTGTCTTCTTCTAGTATATCTGGATTCAGCAGGACTTACTTATTGTTACTATACAATATCAGATATATTTATCATATCTTTTTTCTTCTTTTCTATATAAACTGTATATTTATTTTATCTTTATTGAGACATCTAACTTCCATGTTGTCTTTAATCTACAAAAGCATTAAATGAAACTGGTGCTTCAATTATTACTTAATCATCTTAATCAAATTTGAATAAAGGTACTTCTGGTTTCTCTTCTATTTATCTTTACGTTTGGTTTTAAGATGATGGTTATGCATCACTTAAATTTGATCTCATAGATGTCATCATTTTAGGGAGTTTTTTTCTTTTTGGTGGTAATTTAGAATCTAATTATAATTTAGAATTTAATTCTGAATAATCAGATAAATGTGACAATTGTCTCTCTTCTTAATTATTTGTATTTTCTCTTGCTAAAGTGTTATCAGATTTTTTTGATTATATTTTATTTTAAGTGACTTCCAAATCTTATTTGATTTAAGCTACTCTCTAAAGCATTTTCTATGTACTTAAACTAGGAGGTGGTTGAGATGAAATTTAAGAACCTCCAAATATATCATTAGCTTTCTTATAATTTTATACTTCTAAATCTAAATATTTTATTATATCTCCTGCTTCTTTTACTTTTTCATAAGCATTTACTACTAAATGATATAGTTCTTGATGATCTTTAAGTAAACGTTAGATTGTCTCAGTATCATCTGGTCTTGCCAATCTTTCTTAATATTATTTTCTTAATTATTCAAATTGAGTGTATTTCTCTTCATATTTCTTTCTATACTCTTCAATTTCTTAATTACAAGTTTCAGTTAATGTATTTAATTAAACATCACTCTACTCCTTCATCTATTAAATTTACAATTAATATTTTAATTCTTATTCAATCATATCTGATTTCAACATATTATTATCTTTCTTCAATTAAGTTATTTAATTTTTCAAAATCTATACCTATTCATTCATATCATCTAATTCCTTTTCATTTTCTTTTAAAATATCTTGAAATTTAAGTGTTAATTAATTAACATATTCCTAACTTTCTTATTTATCTGCTTATGCTTTCTCCTTAGCTTCCTCTAATTCTTTTTAACATTATTTTACTATAACATCTAATCCTTAAATATGATTTTCTTTTTTTGGTATTTCTTTATAAACTATTTTCTCAACTATTTAAATTATAGGTTTTCTTTACTCTTAATTTTCATTACCCTCTTATTATGTTGCTTATGTTAATTATTCAATTATTTATTCATATCTAATTATCAATTCAGCCTTCTCCTTTTAATAATTTAATTCCATTTCCTTCATAAGTTCTGAATCCTTTCCTTCATTAAATTATTGAAATTCTTAATTTTCCTATTATATGATATTATTCGATTAAAATTCTGTTTACTATTCTTTATCAATTAATTCTAATTTAATTTAATTTTCTTCCAAAATCTTAACTTATTCTTCATAATTACTTTTTTAGTTAGATAATTATTATTCTAAATTTTATTTTTATTATAAAGCACTTTATTTGGCTAAAGTAATTTCTTCTTATTATTAAATTATTAAGTTCTATTTTTTGGCAATCTCTTAGATTAAACTTTCTTTTTCTTATTAATATTGATAATTCATATTCTATATCTTAATATTCTATTATTATGTAATCCCAAGAGTTTCAATATATTAATTATTTAATTATTATAATTCTAATTCTTTATTTCCTATAAATATTTATAATTCTTTAACTAATTTTTAATGTTTATGATTTTCTTATTGTCTTGCATATTCTTTATTATTTATTTCTTACTACAATTAAATTAATTCATTATTCTTCGTTTATACTTATTCACTCAAAATAAAATAATTTTATTAAATTTATTTAGTTTATTCCATCATTTTTTATAATTTTGTAGTCAAATTATCATTCATTTTATTAAAAATATTTAGAGACATATTCATTTCATCCTATAATTAAATAATTCTTTCATGACTTTTTTATTCAGAATCTATACATTTAGATTGTAATTAATTTAATTGATTTTATAGATTTCCTAATTAATTTTATTTTTATTCACAAGAAGCTGTTAAACTTAGTATTTTATCTTCTAATGGCTTTTTTGCAGATTTAATAAGTATTTCAACCCCATCCCTTAAAATAATAATTTCTTCTTGAAATTTTGATTCTATTTCTTTTAATTGCATTTTGAATTCATCAACTTAAAGTTAAATTTTAGTATTCAATTATTAAATTTCTGTATCCTTATTTTTTATTATTATTTCTTAAAGATTTTATTATTCTTTTAATTTTACTACTTTTTCATTAAAGTCTATTTACTTCATTTAAGCTTGTTATTCTAATTTACTTATTTGATCTTTATGTATCAATTCATATTATTCAAATTTACTTATTGAAGTATCTAATTATCCTTTTAATCTATTTATTTCTGTATTTTTCTATCTAGTTAATAATTCATATTATTCTTATGCATTTTTTTACAATTAATTCAATCTATTATCAGATTATTTTTCCATATCTTCTTTAATCTTTTAACATTATTTATTATGATCAACTTTCATTTATTCTTGTAATCTCTAAAATCTTTCAACTTTTTCTTTCATTTTATTTTCTAGAGCTTAAACATTTAATTAAAGTGATTTAATTTCTTTTTATTAATTTTGAATATCATTAGCTTATTTAAATACTTCTTCTTTGGAACTTTTAAGTTATTTCTTAGTTAATTCATAATCTTCATTTAATTTTGTATATTTTTCTAAGAGTTCTTGTTTTTCCTATTTTTATGTTTATATTGAATTTTCTAAATCCTGAACAACTACACCATATTTTTCTTTATTTTCTTTATATAATTGAATTAAAGCATCATATTCACTTGATAGTTTCAAAAATTCATTAGTTTTTTATTCTAATTAAACTTGATATACTTCAGCATTTTTTTATAAAATTTAAAATTTGTCTTCATAATTGTTTTATAATTATTTTTGATTATTAGCATATTATATTTTTTATTCTTTCATTTCATTTCTATATTTTTTTTATAATTCTTTCATTGCAAAATCATGTTTAATATCAATATCTGTCTATTTTGTTTAGAATTCTTATTCTAATTTTTAGTAATATTATAATTTTAAATCCTTTCTTGTTATTTCAGATTCATAACTCAAAATATTCTATTAATGCTATTCAATTTCTGAATTTAGTTATAATATTTTATCTTCCAATAGTTTTATTTACTAAACATTATCTAATCCATCTTAGACTTATTTTTTAAATCTATTTTTCCATTTCATTTTTCTATTCAACATTTATTATTCAAGGTCTTTTATTTACAAAATATGTTATTCTTTTAACATTTCAAATTCTTTATCCTTTTGTTTGATTGCATTTATCATTTTTTCTTTCTCCACATAGAAGTATCGTTAGTCTTCAACTAAATACTTAACTAATAGTTCAATTGAAGCCATATCTTTTGAAAATTTTCTATCTTCATTTGTTGTTTGATTGACATCAAATGTTATTTTTTAAAGCTCTTCTCTGTAAACTTATTTACTTTTCAACATTACCTGAAATTTATCGCAAATGTTCAATGATCTAATCTTTCAATTTATAATTTTCTCTAAGTAAATCAGAAAATAGATTGGCAAAATATTTACAATCATTTTGTAATTTCTAATTTCCATCTTTGGTAAACAAATCTTATTTAAGTAGTTCTGAAAACTCGTTCATTCGAAATTCGAATTCATCTATGCTATTCTGCATTTAATTATATAATTATATGAATCAATATAAAATAGTAGGAGATTATCAAATATTTTTAAATCAGAAATTGGGTTCTGGTGCTATGTCTGAAGTATATTTAGGTGAAAGGAAAACAGATAAATTAAAAGTAGCAGTCAAAATAATATCAAAATAATATATCAATTCAAGAGATTAACATAATAAGTATTTATACATAATAATTGAAAGATAAATAATCAAAAAAAGAATTAAGAGAGAAATAACAATATAAAGTAGTCTTAAACATCCAAATATTTTAGAATTGTTTAATGTTTAAGAAACTCAGAATTCAATTTATTTATTTATGGAACTAGCACATAGCACTTTAGCTTAATATTATACTAAAAGTAAATTACATTTTTAATTCTATTCCTAGAGATAGTTAATTAAGAAGAAATGAAAAAAATTATAACATAAATTGTTAATGCTTTCTTGTATATGTCTGAAATACAAATTATTAATCACTTACAAAATGATAAGGTATATAAAGGAGTATGCCATTTGGATTTAAAACCTTAAAATATTCTTATTGTTGGAGATACTATCAAAATTTCAGATTTTGGGTTATCAACATCTCTATAATAAGATGAAAATTAAGAAATGCATGAGTCTTTAGATTAAATTGACAATATACCCTCTAATATAGATTATTTGGGATAAGGCAGGTAATATCTATTATAAAAAAGAGTCTCCTTTATATGTCTATTGAATAATTAAATTATTAGCCAACATAAAACTTATAAATTTTAGATGTTTGGAGTGCTGGAATTATATTTTATGAACTTGCCTTTGGTAAACATCCTTATTATTAATTTGATTCAAATATTAAAAACCCTATAGAATTATTATCTTTATTGAATTAAGTAGAGTTTACTTATCCAGAATCCTAATTTGATAAATAATTTTANACATCAAATGTTATTTTTTAAAGCTCTTCTCTGTAAACTTATTTACTTTTCAACATTACCTGAAATTTATCGCAAATGTTCAATGATCTAATCTTTCAATTTATAATTTTCTCTAAGTAAATCAGAAAATAGATTGGCAAAATATTTACAATCATTTTGTAATTTCTAATTTCCATCTTTGGTAAACAAATCTTATTTAAGTAGTTCTGAAAACTCGTTCATTCGAAATTCGAATTCATCTATGCTATTCTGCATTTAATTATATAATTATATGAATCAATATAAAATAGTAGGAGATTATCAAATATTTTTAAATCAGAAATTGGGTTCTGGTGCTATGTCTGAAGTATATTTAGGTGAAAGGAAAACAGATAAATTAAAAGTAGCAGTCAAAATAATATCAAAATAATATATCAATTCAAGAGATTAACATAATAAGTATTTATACATAATAATTGAAAGATAAATAATCAAAAAAAGAATTAAGAGAGAAATAACAATATAAAGTAGTCTTAAACATCCAAATATTTTAGAATTGTTTAATGTTTAAGAAACTCAGAATTCAATTTATTTATTTATGGAACTAGCACATAGCACTTTAGCTTAATATTATACTAAAAGTAAATTACATTTTTAATTCTATTCCTAGAGATAGTTAATTAAGAAGAAATGAAAAAAATTATAACATAAATTGTTAATGCTTTCTTGTATATGTCTGAAATACAAATTATTAATCACTTACAAAATGATAAGGTATATAAAGGAGTATGCCATTTGGATTTAAAACCTTAAAATATTCTTATTGTTGGAGATACTATCAAAATTTCAGATTTTGGGTTATCAACATCTCTATAATAAGATGAAAATTAAGAAATGCATGAGTCTTTAGATTAAATTGACAATATACCCTCTAATATAGATTATTTGGGATAAGGCAGGTAATATCTATTATAAAAAAGAGTCTCCTTTATATGTCTATTGAATAATTAAATTATTAGCCAACATAAAACTTATAAATTTTAGATGTTTGGAGTGCTGGAATTATATTTTATGAACTTGCCTTTGGTAAACATCCTTATTATTAATTTGATTCAAATATTAAAAACCCTATAGAATTATTATCTTTATTGAATTAAGTAGAGTTTACTTATCCAGAATCCTAATTTGATAAATAATTTTATGATTTATTGTAAGGAATGCTCAAGAAAGATCATAAAGAAAGATTGACATGGAAATAATGTAAAGAACACCCATTTCTATAATGAATTGGAGTGATAAATTTATAAATAATCATAATGCAAACTATTCCAATAGGGATTCCACTTTTTAACCTAATGTTCTTTAATTTTCTAGTAAATTTAAATCATCATCTTTTAAATCAGATAATGAATAAAATTAACTTAATTCCATTACAGAAGTATCTAATTCATCTAAAATAGTAATTTCTTAAATGGATTCTTTATCTTAAGTTTTAATTTTTAATGGTTGAGTTTGTTAATTTTACAATTCTTATGAATGTAATTATTTTTATTAAATCTATTTAAGCTTTTATAATGCTTCTCTGTATACTATTTATTCTGTGTTTCTCTTATTAATTCCCATTCTTGTTATTGATAATATATTATTCAATTCCAATTAAACTTAATATACATTAATTGGGTTTCCATTTTAAGTAGTATCCTTTTTCCATTCAACAGAAACTTTTGGTTTTAAATTGGTACACCCATTTACAAATTCTAAAAATGCTGATTTCGGATTTTATTTAAGCTCAACTATAGGGACACCTTATCCTCTATTTGTATTAGTTGAATTATATACTTATCCAAAACTTATTTTAGTATAGGCTATACAACTTCTCTTAAATGATCTAAATCAAATCCAGAATCATAATACTATGCAGCAATTATTGATTTAAGAGTTTCTGCAAGTATTTTAGGGTTTTTTCTAATATATAATTTATTTTTTACTTTAAGCTGATTTAGTTACCTACTTGAACAATATTATCAATCTTATACATTATTGCTATATCAGCTAAATTCCTTTCACTCAATAGTCTTTATCTGAGCAACACAAGATCACTTGACTTTTTTATTTAACTATCTTTATTTGGATAACTATGTTTAATTACATTAATACCCACCCTCTTTAAATCAAGTAATCAGAGAAAAAAAACTCTAAAATCATTTACCCAATCCCAACAAAGTCTTCATTATTTCCAAAAGGATATTTGGTACCTTTTTTTGATTAATACTCTAATTCATGTATTTTATTGGTTAATGCTTAAGCCAATGTATTTGTGTTTTAAAATGAGAAGATTTTGTTATTCATTTTGAAGAATATTAATATTGTCTTTTGTTAAATATGAAGAACATTATCTTTAGTTCCTTTGAGTAATTTAGATCACATTCTACCAATTAATTCATTTTTGAACATTTTTTCGGAAAACTTTCTACTAGCTAATAAACTATTCCATTTAGATCTATACCATCTTTAATCTTGTTTATTTCAAGAGAACTCTTTTGTCTAAGATTATTTTCATAAAAAACTAAAGTTAATGTAGACAATTCAATTTTTGTTACACAAATAGAATTCTTAACTTTTATTTTTAAGTGATTCTAGTAAAACAACTCTTCTTCAAATCATTCTCATCTATATCAAATATATTTATCATAGAAAAAATTAATGAGCATTCAAATAATTAAGTCTTTTAATTTACCTGAAAAAATGTAATAAATTATGTTTTTCTAATTGTACTATATTTTAACATTTAATAATAATAAATCGTTTTTTTTATTATCTCATTATTTAAAAATAAATTTAACTACTAATTCAAGCTTTGTATTTGATAAGAGAGTATATAATATTTATTAAATATATTCTATTTACAAATACTAACCGTTATAATTATGATCAATAATGATATTTTATTTACTAAAATTCAAATATATTGTTTTTAAACATAATAGAACCTTATTATTTTATTAAATTTTATCTAAAACAACTTAAAGTATATTTTATAGGATATTTGTTTGAATAATTTTAATAAGTTAATTCTATAATTTATTTTACAGCAATAAGATTATATTTTAATTTACCAGAATATTTAGATTTATCATAAATAATTCTACCTTACATAAATCTAAATTGAATAATATAAGCAATCCAATTTGTTATTTCTATTAAATAAAATAATAGAAAAAACAAAAAATCAGAATATGTAGTTTCTAATAACAAAATAACAAATTAAATTAGTTCTCTTGATGAAGTCTTCATCATAATAACAAGATTAATATTATTTTATATATATTTTAATATACATAGTTAATTCTTTATTTACTATAATTTGAAACAATCGAATTTAAAATAGAATGGAGTATTTTGATATGTGCTTATGCTATTTAGAATACTTGATAAAAATTTAGTAAGGTTATAAAAGTAATTAAGAGCTTTTCAAAGCTTATCAACTTGGAATTCAATATTAAATCTAGTTTTGAAAAATGATAATCTCAATATCAAAATTTTCGATTATCCTGAATTTTACACTTTTATAAATATAACCTTTCATACCTCTATCCTTTAATTTATTGAATAAATGAGTTATACTTCTTAAAATCAAAGTTGAATCACCAATTAATTGTTAGACACTCTATCCTTAATTATTAAAAATAAGAAATAAAAAATTATTTAAGTTGAATTTTAGATTTAAAAATTAGGGCAAAGAAGGATCTTAAATGATTTCTAAATTAATATTCAAGTTTTTCAATTGTTAATTTAATTATTAGAAAATGAAGATAACTTTAAAAATAGATTTAAATATCATAAATATTGGTAGCATTTCAATTATATTATAATTCTTATCATTATTTGTTATTTTTTCAATTACTATTTTGTTTTTATATTAATTGCTTAATTGAATTATTTTATTCAATTATTTATTTGAATTATTAAATCTTAATTATATAATAATTAGAATTAGATTAGTATATGAGTCTGAATTCTATAGATATAAATAATATATTTTTTCAGATGTTAAATAGCTTAAAATATTTTAACTAAATATCAATTATTAAAATAATTAAATCAATTAGGAATATTTTATTGCTGAAAATAAATTATTAGATTTAGTTTAAGTCTAAGATAATCAAACAAATATTGCATGAATTCATTTGTGATGTTAAGAGTTTGATCGAATCCTATGAGAATTCTAAGAAGTATCACTTTCATTATTTGAACTCTTAAATCTAAATCTTTTTTCAGGATAATGACATTGGGATTAAATAGTAGTTGGAGAACTCGATTAATTGCTCAATCTGAAAATTGGATATATATTTTCTTCAGTATCTAGGTCTCTTGGAGAACCCTAATCAAACCAAATTAAAAATATATACAATTCAAAATTTCAAGCAACCTTTCTTCAATTTAATCTTATCTTTTGCAATTACAAATACTTTAATATAAATTATTATCCTTTCTAATTAACAAATCTTTATAAATTTCTAGAATTACCCTTTATGCATCCTTTTTACTCCATAGATATCTGATTTCTTTAATACATAGTCCATATGGCCAATAATATTTAGCTTTCTAATGAACTTGACATACTTAATATTTTAATATTTATATTAATTAAAACCCTTATGATATTATAATACTTTATTAGCATATAATCAAATAGCATCTATAATTAATTAAATGAAATTTATAAGCATTAAGATTGTAATTAATACCTAAACCTTTATATTAAATAAGTAAAAGTGGATTAATTGAAAGAATCGGGATCCAAGTATGCTTTAATATATTTAGAATATATTTAAGACCAGAAATGAGATTAATAGAAGATGCTTAAGTAAACAAGGGATACAAATAAAACTTACCATAATCAGAATTAAATATAATATATGGTAAATAATAAAAAATTGGAAGGGCAATTTAAATTGAAAGAATTATATAATTCATAATAAAATTAGAAGAAATGTAATGTAAGAGGGAAAATCATATTTAAATGAGGAAGGAATAGAAAATACTTATCTTGACTAAACATATCATCTAAATGAAAAAATCTGAATGACATTTATCAATGCGAAATTATATTTTCTATTTAGATATTAGAAGTGAGAAAATTAACATTAGCACCATTAAAAATAAAAAAGAATTTAAATAATTATTTAATTATAAGTAATTTAAAAAACAGATGCAAGATAACATCGTATATAATAATCAAAATCTAAAACTAGAAATATGCACAAATTTAGTTTAAGAAGTCTCTTGGTTGTCCAATTATTCTAAACTAGATGACTTTGAATTTAGACTTGATTTTTTAGAACTTTAATAATCCAGGTCTTTCCCCGAGTCCTAAATAGTTTAAATTATTTACTGAACTCATGAACTCATAATCATAAGGATGTAGAGAATTTTAAAGATAAATTTTCCTTGCCCCCTCTAATATTTATAAATATAAAAATTTACTTATATCAATTGATTCTGATTCTGAATCTGATGGTTAATCGTAATATGATTAGATTTTCACCATTTATGTGAATGTGCCACTAAAAGAGAAAAGGACACTCTATGATTAATATCTAATTTATATTGCCCTATTTTCACTCTATTCCCAAATAATTTCATCACATTCAATAATGACAGCTTTAAATTGAATCAAAGTATCTAGTATTTACATTCAATGGTACTTTATTCTAGGTCCTCATAAATTTATCCTACCCAAAAAGGATATATTTCATTATTGGTATGTAAAATTAGACTATTAAATGGATTCCACATGCCTAAGGCTGGTATATCTCCAACAATTCTAAGTTCTTGTGATGAATGTGTCTCGCATCTGACTTTAAAGTAAACTTATATTGGCATGTAGTAAGTTAATAAAATTAATATAAATCATAAAAAGATTGAAATTTAATATTAATTATATTGCCCTTTAAAAAAAATATTCTTAATATAGACAATATTAATTGGCATTAGAATTTTCTATATCTATGTTCTAAGAAATTTCTATAATTTAAATTAATTTGATTTTTTGCTTTAATTAGTAATTTATAAACACAAAGAGTATATCAAAGATCGACCAATCCAAATTGAAATTGGCAATCTTAATTATTTGATTCTTTTTTTGGAGTACACTAATATTATTCAATAGAAATTAATGAAGTTTCTTCATCATAAAATTATGAATTATCATCACTCTCTAATTCTTGATCCTAAATAATATGATTTATATTATTACTGAGTCTTCATCTGAATCATATAATTTCTCTTATAGCTATATTGAAATCTTTCTTGCTTTGGCTAAATATAATTATTTAAAATACACTCAGTAATATTAGTTAAATCATTATTTGAGAATAGTCTTCTTATATTATGGATAATAAGTAGTGGTTAATCAAAAGTTAAGACTACTATCATCTTTTGGCTTAAGATTTGTAACAATCTGTTTACTCCAATTTCCCATTATGAATTTATACCATTACTTATAACTAGTTTGAATTCCAAAATTTCATCTATAAATTTCAAATATGAAAATACTTGGCTCGACTTCTAAAGGATACTCATTCATCCAAACTGGATAAGTATCTGGACTAGTAATCAATTTAAATCCATTTTATGGATTCCAATTACCTAATGCTGAATGGTTTCCAACTATAGTAACATTTTAAGAAAGTTAAGTTGGACATACAACACGAAATAAAACTTATGCACTCATTTATTTTTTTATATTAAAATTTAAGTTTTTTAATCCAAAAATATAAAATAAAAAGTGTGAAATTTTATTACTCCAACTACGTCATTTTACAACACTTTCAATTTATATATAAATAATGCTATGAAATTTTAATTTGATTGTTGATCTATATTAATTATAAATTCAATAATATTAAACTAAATTTTTATAAATCTTAAGTTTTTTAATGATTTTTTTTTGTTACAAATTCATATAAGAGTTGATAAAGTTCTGTTATATATGATTATGAAATTTGGAATATAAAAATAATTTATTTTAATTATAAATTATAATAAATGTTGGGAGATGAAAAAGAAACTTAATTAAGTAAGTATAGAGAGCAAGTTATTCATGCTGAAACTTTGAATATGATGGCTAAATACTAATTAATATTTTTAAAGATGGAAATCTCTATGAGAAAAGTAGCATTAATTATAAAATTAAAGTAATACTAACTGTTAATAGTAGAGGAAATTAATAAAAATTTTATGCCTTTAGAAAACTTAAGAAAACTACTAATTATAGTGTTGATCATTTTAAAGTGTTATTTACTTAAATAGCATTAAAATATTAATAAGTTGGATTAATTATTCAAAAAAAATAAAAAAGAAATTTGCATCATGCTTTCTTAAAAGTTCGCTTATTATTTCCCAAAAATAAAAATGATAAAATTAGAAGATCCTTTTTATAAGTTATTGCTTCAAAAGATGCTGAAATTAAAAATCTATAAATTAAAGAACAAGAAATTACAGAAAATATAACAAATTAAAAGTTAAAAGAATAAGAACTATAATCAAAATTAAAATAAAAAGAATTAATCTTAACTTAACTTGAAAATGAATTAAGAAAAAATTCAGCTAATAAAACACTTGATTCAAAAGTATTTAATATGATAATATTATTAAGTTAAGAAATTTAGAAGTTGAAAATTAAGAAATGTAAGATCGAATTATGGGTACTGAAGATTCTGTTAGTCTATTTATAAGAGAGATGAATGATATGTTGGATGGTCATGAAATTAGTACAAATTTAGGTAAAATTTATAATACAATTTATAGGAATAGATTCAGATGAAAATTAATCTTATGAATAACCACCTTAAGTTATAGAATATTAAAGTCAACGTTTGAATTAAAATTCAAGATAACAAAAATCTAAGAACTTTTACTCTAATTAATTGACAAGGAGTACTAAAATTAATTGAAAATATCAATTCAAAATTCAAAATAACTATTATTTTATTTTCTTATCTTGTTGGTAAATTTTATTGTACTGTTGATTCAATAAAATTGAATAATTATTAACTTAAGTTTTTGGTTTTGATTTATTACTATTCATTTGCTCTAAAAGTTCTTTCTCTTATTTCTTATTTCTACCCTAAACTGCTAATTTAATTGCTTATTAATTTTATAATTTAAGCATTTCATTTTCTTATTCTAATTGTGATAATTTGAAATTTATAGAATCGTTTGGATTTAATGTTATCATATGTTTTAATTCTTAAATTTCATTTTCTAATGCTAATATTGTATTTTCATATTGATTTATTTTCATTTCAAAACTCTATTTGATGGTTTTTATCTGATATATAATTAACAATATAAATACTTCTGCTTCTTTCAATTTTATAGTTTGAATGCTTTCTGATATACATTCATCTATTGCTTTTATGATAATCTAACAGTCTTCAATTGAAAATTATTATCCAGCAATAATTTTTGATAAAAATTTTTGAAGTTCATTCTATAAAGCTAATTCAAATTATCTCTTTTGAATTGCAACATTAATCTAATTTGGAAATTACTCTTCTTCTAATTCATCTAAAATGTTGCTTTGTTAACTATAACTTTTTTGTCTGCTCTTATTACTAATTGATGTTGTATAATTGTTGGAATATGAACCATCAAATGATTGATTATGTTCTGATCTAGATTTATAACTATTATCTTTTACAAATTTTGGACCTATTTAAGATTATATTAAATATCTAACCTGAAAATTAGTTTGAGTTTTTTTACATAGACATTGTAACTATAAAATAATGAATAAATTTAAAATAGTTAAGATAGTTATTGTATATTAAAGTTTATAAATACTAAATTTAATTATTTTATCTATAAAATATCTAATAATCTAAAGCAATCAAAAATTACTGAAGTATTAAAGATGGTTTAGTGTAGGAAATTAAAAATATTAAAAACTAAAATAAATAATTTTAAAGATTAATCATTTCTTTAATTAAAATAGAAAGTTTTTATTATGAATCGGAGTTTAAGATTATTATTAATATTAATACATATAATTATAAATCATCTATAATAGTTGTAGGTTAATAATTCTAAATAAATAGTTAATTAATTTTATCATCATTTATTAAATAGATTTCTAAAACTACGATTTATTGCTTTATAAGCTTTTAATTGTACTAAAGATTTTTAAATTTATTGATTAGCATCCTTAATGACTTTTTCTTTCTTTTTCTATCTTCTATCCATATTTAGTAATCTCATTTATTCATAATTCAATTCTACATTATTATTTCTATTTTTAATTTCTGCATCAATCTCCAATTTATAACAATAGTATTAAGAATAATTTTGAAATTCTTCAATACCAAATAAAGTATCAATTTCTATAATTTTAGGAAATCCTTTTTCTAAAGCTCTTAAATATTAAGTTAGAACAGTAGAAAAGTTTCCTTAAGGATAAAAATGATTATATTCTTATATTTAATCAAAATTTGAAATAGAACTTAAATGTAACTATTTAAATTTTTCTTCCATTTCTTTTTTTTTTGTTTATAATAAAAAATTATCTATTTTTTCAGTTAGACCTCCAAAATAATTTTCACTTATTGATGCATATGAAACAATACGAGTAAACTTTCTAGTGATTTTGCCATTCAAATATTTGATACTTTTTATTCTACTTTTTTATTTGAGATTATAAATTTAATATTCAGGATATTAAGTATCTAACATATCTTCTTCAGCTACATTATAACTATTAAGAAGATCTTCTAGATATGTCTTTCTTTTAACATTTAGATTTATTAATTTAGAATTTTCGAATCTTTATTGTGCTTATCTGATTTACTATATACACTTTCTTGCATTAAAATCAATTCTATCCCTACGAAAATAAGCTGCTTAATGTAATTTATCAAATTATTTTAGGAATTTAATAAAATGTGTGGCTGATCTAAAATAAATATTAATTTTACACATTAAAATGTAATTTCTCGCAATCTCTTGCTATATGATCATCCATTTAACAAATATAACATCTTACACCTATAGATCCATAATCTTTATGGAATATTATCTTATCTCTAATTAGATAATATTATTCTAAATCAAATATTCTTCCTTATGAATTATTTGAAGAATCTTAATATGTCTTTAAGTTTTATTAAAATTTGTCTTGATAAATTTAAAATATGCTTGAGAAATTGACACTCCTTGAACTTGCAGATCTTGGCATATTTGAATAAAAACTTATTTCACCAAAATATTCATTTCTTCTTTTTTGATCAACAACGATACCAGTTTTTTTATAAAATATATCAACTAATCCTGATTTGATAATGAACATATCATAATTTTATTAGAAATCAAATTCATCAAAAATTACTTCTTCTGGATTGTATACTCTTTCTTTCATACTAGGCAAAACAATCTCAATTAGAAATTATTAAGAATTGTTCTTCAACAAGATATCGCAATACCCAAGTAATTTTCCATTTACTTATTTCCTTAAATCATTAGCTAATTCAATTTAAACTTAATTAGTTAAATCTTATAATACTAAAGATTTTGATTCCATTACAAATTCAATATATCTTCTAATTCTATTCTATAATTAATTAGATATGCCTGCTTTTTTCATAAATCTATTTATCCCATTAATTTTTTCTTTTTTCATTTTATTCTATCCATCTATTTCTTATAAAGCAAATCCAATAGAATTCATTGTGAAAGCAAAACCACCACATGCAATCAATAATAGTATAATACCAATAAATCTTTCTTAAGGTGTTTAAGGACTTATGTCACCATAACCTACTGTAGTCATTGTTGCTATTCCCCAATATAAAGAATTTACATATCTAATTTACCAATCAGCAAAATAGATATCTCCTAACCATGAATCATCACTTGGTTCTTATTATGCAAGATAATGAAATATGCAACCAAGAACATGAGCAAAAAATAATACAAAAAAAAATAATTTACAAAAATTGACTATTGCTGCTATACCAGGTCTCATTGATAATATTTCATCAAATTTATCTATTATTTTTTTTAACTTAGCTAATCTTATTAATTTTAAGACTTTAACAAACCTTAGAAATTTCAGTAATCTAATTAATTTTGCACTTTAAACTAATGAAGATGATTCATCCATTATAATATCATAAGGAAATGTAGATATGAAATCTATCCAAAACCAAAAACTTATATATTCCTTAAATATTTCCCTTCTTTCCATATTTAATTTACCTTCTAAATAAACACCTGTGTTAAAATTGAGTAGAATATCAAATACAAACATAGCTGTACTTATTCTTGAAAATGCTTAACTTATCTCTATTTCAAAACTAATCAATAAAGGTATTGTTATCATCTCATAAATCACTAATAATAAGCATAATAGGTCCCATAACATTTTCATTGAACCATCAGGACTAAAAGTGTAAGGTTATTTGAGTGTTACTAATTACTTTATTTTGTTATAAAATCTACCAAAACGTATGGCCATACGATCCCAATTAAAACTAAATTTTCTTTTTAATGTATGCTTTGATGACAACAATCTTCTTTTATAACTATATTGACCTTAGCGTCCTTTCTCCTTTATTTTATAACCTTCTAATGGATTAGCATCTTAATCATAATCAGATCCACTAGTAATTGCTTCATCTGCTAAGAATTTATACTATCTTTTTGTTAAGACATCTTTCTTTTAACTTTGAATGAATTAAACATATAATTCCATTATATATAATAAATAATTTCATTCAAAATCTAAGTTTCATCTATTTTGATTTAAACTCTCATTAATCAATAAATTTTACTAAATCGATATGATTATTTTATTTTTTCAGTATTGTTTAATTTCATTTGGAAAGGCAAAAAAATATTGTTAAAATAAGTTAGCATAGTATAAATATTAATATTATTTCATTTTAACAAATTATGTCCATAAATTCAATTAAAATACAATTCTATTCTTTAATTTACGACTCTTTTTATTATATTATAAATGAATATTGATCTAATTAAAAAAATTAAGAAAAATTAACAAAAAATTGAATAACATAATTAAAAACTATGTGCTTAAGCAAAAGATATTTATGCATTAGTATTGGATTCAAATTAATAAACTATAATTAATGTGAATAGTAATTTAAGAACACTAGTATGGAAAGGAGTTAAGTAAGTACAAAAAAATCAACAAAATAGAATTCTATAGTTCCAAATAAATCTGAGCTTTCTGGTCTTATCGATTCGGTAAGAATAATATATGACCTTCAAGTTTTCTCCAATATCTGTTAAATAATCACATATCGATAAAATTGTCTCAATTAGTCCAAATAGAAATGATTTAACAAGAATTAGGATGGAAAATGCTGTTTTAAAAGAGTAAATAAATTCTAAAGAAAAGTATATTGATTAATTAGATGAAACAATTATTGAACTTAAAAAAGAGAATCTGATGAGTTAATATTATTAAAATACTACTAATCGAATAAATAAAGAATTAGAAATTGGAAAGAAAAACTCAAGATCAAATTTTTAGAATAAAACTTAGAGAAAAATAAAAGTAATGATTTTAATTTAAATGAAATGGAAACCTCTATGTAGATTATAATCTTAGAAAATGAATAATTAAAGCAATAACAAAAAAGATGATTCTAAATGGTTAAGTTAGTTGTAGGAAGAATTTCAAATATTTTATACAAAAAGTCAAGAAACTAAAAATAAAATGGATGATACTAAATATTTAATTTACCAACTTTCTGAAATAAACTAATTTTTAACTAACAAATATTGTTCATATGTATAAATCATAAAATAGTAAAAAGTAGATTTAACTCCACTCCCTAAGGCAAGTTCTATTAAACCCTTTGCTCAAGTCTTTTAAGTGCAAATAAAAACTTTAGTAAATTTAAATTAAATACTTAAAGAAGTTAGTACGTCAGTGGAAAAATTCTCTAATTAATACATTTCTTATGTTGGATTATAATTAGTTTCTTTATGATGATATTATTCATAAAAACATAACATTATTTAAATTTCTTAACATTTTGCTAAATATCTTATTGTTTTTTATATTATAAATCTTTTTTTTGTGATGTCTTTAAAGGTTTGTTAAAAAAGATTGTTCATAAATCTTTAGCATAGGATTCCTATCTTTTAAGAAATATTAAATTAATGAATTTTTCATCTCTATGTCCTTAATTTAATCCTATAAAGAGGATTGGAAATTAGAATATAAAAAAACATTCCACATTAAGTATTTTTGGAATAATATTTTGTTAAATTATCCATAAGAATTTAAACTACATCAGTATTTAAGAAGAAAACAATATATATAATTATGTTTATAAATAATATAGTCAGACCTTAATGAAAATATAAGTTTAAACAATCAACATATTTTTTTGATTAATTAAAACTATTGGAGTAAAGTATTTAGAATTTCTGACTAATTTCTTGTCAATTTTAATCAAGGTTAGTTGAAAATCACTGTATTTAATATTATTTATCATAACAGTGAACTTCAAATCAACTTTTTGCAATTATTAAAAAGTGAAAAATTCTATTTATAAAATTTATTCTTCTGAATGAAATTCTAATTCATTAGTTGATGTGTTAATCCTCCTACATTATTAATTTTTTTTTCATCTTAAATTAATATTAAGACAACAAATTTTAATTTAAAGTATAGAATTATTTATTTTTGGTATGTTATTTTAATATTTGTTATAATAGGTATTTTTATATTTTGTATTAGAATCTTTATAAAATTTATATTAGATTGATTTTATGCTAGTGTTTTTAGTTATTAAATGGTTGATTTGATTTTCTAGCATTCATCCATTAATTTCAATAAAAATTATATTTTCAAATAATATATTTCTAGATTAAATGATTCAATTAAATATAAATTAGTGCTGTTATTTTTATTATAATAATTTTAATAAAATCATTTCCATATTATTTGACTATTATTTTTAAGGTAAATTGGCTATTATGATATATAATAATGATTTAATTCAAGAAATATATTTATATGTGCTGCTTTAATTAATCATAATTAACTATTCATTATCAGATATTTATTTAATTATTTATATCAAGGAATTTTACAATAAAATGATAGCCAAAATTGTTTAAAAGCTTCGTTCGTTGACTATGAAAAGTTAAATCATTTTATTCAATGTGTTAACTCTTGTGATTGTACTTTCAGTGGTTTGGATAAATTATTATGTCTAAACTTAAATATTTTCATCAATATCCTTTAGTTCATTATATTAAATACTTTAGAAATAAGATTAAGATAAAATTGGATTTATTGCTAAAAATGTAGCTTTAATTATAGAACTGAAATTTTTGTCAAGTTTTAATTTAATTTAATTATTTAGTTCTTAAATAAATGGAGTAGATAAAGGAATTTTATATTTTTTTTGAAAAAGAAAAAGAAAATATAGTTAATAATTATAAAATGGATTCATGCATATCAATTGAAGATTATATTAATGATAATACCTCCCTTTACACACCCAAATTTTGTTATTAAGCAATTGGAGTTCCAGATTACGTTACTATACCCTAAAATGAAACAGAAATATTAATACTTCATGATTTTATTTCTTTTCTCAATCATTATAGTTTTTCTTTGGATGTTTCTTTTAGTGGAATGATATAAATATCATCAGTATCAAAAACAAAATATTTTAGTCAATTTCCATTTTGTTTTTTATTACCCTGGTTTGATATTACTTCATTACCATGGTATAATTTAAAATAAGTATTTTTAGGTATTAAAATCATTTATTAAAAACTTAAGAAAATCAAAGAGAGGGTTTTATTTTCTCACCTTTGAATGATTTTTTCATTACAAAAATTAAGGAAATGTCAATCACAAGTTCTCTATATTCTGATGGCAATATGATTGGAATTATAAGAGAAGGTTTAATAATTAGTGATTATTTGATACCAACGGTTCCATATAATGTCTTATTGTTAGATTAAGATGGTTTAGTTGTTTATTTTAACATTGAATAACTTAGAAACAAGACTGATTATTTTTACATATATGACTAAAATGTAACTGGTTTTAATAAAACTGATTGGGAAGACATGATTTAATTTTCAAGTTAAAGGAAAAAAGTAATTTTGGTTTTAGAGAATAAATTATAAAATGAAAAAGTTAATGTTTATTCTCTTTAGGTTTTAAAGAATAATTTCACTCTTATTGTGTATTATTATTATTTATGAAAGATACACTAATATAACTACAAAAATAGATCAACAGAATTAATCAACAGCAATAAGAGAAACATCTTTTATTAATTTTACTATTTCATTATTTGGATAAATACTTTTAGGATTTGTAGCTATAATACTTTAAATCTTTGTATTATTAATAGTATTTAAGCCTTTAAAATAATTTAATTCAATTATTAAACAATATACATTATCTTAAGGTAATAACGTTAATAGTGAAATATTTAAAATGATTCATAAAAAGACATAAGAGTCAGATGCTTTAACAACTCTATAGAATAAAATCCTCAACTTCTCTTAAATCTTATCAGAAAGGTAAGGTAAAAAGTGTGATATGTGTAAAATTTGGGAATCTTTTACTTTTAATGAAAAAGAGCTTCAATTAGATTTTTATTAAATTAAGAACTAATTTTAGATATTATAAAATGGAATGCAAGAATTCGAACCTAAAATGTTAAAAATTATAAAATAAGGAATTAAATGACTTTTAATAATAATATATTTATGAATTAAAGTATTTTTTTATTTAAAAAAGAAAAATATAGAGAAGCTTTAAGAAAATAAAGAAATGAGAATGAATTTAGAATAAGTCGATTCTTGCCAAATTTTTGCTAAAAAGGAAAAATTTCATCAATTTTATTCAGTTTTCATACTTCAATAGAACAATCAAGTAAAATGATATTAAATAATGATGAATTAATGATTAAAGTTTATTAGAATCAATAAAATAAGAATGCTTTATTACTTTTGTCAAATATTTCAGCATCAGAATCATCAAATAGTGTTGATAGATTGATAAAAGAATAATACTTGCATTTGAAATTTCTTGAAATTATTTAATCAAAATAGAGTAATATATATTAATTACAATATGCTTGTGAAGGTTTAACTAATTTACTTAATTCGAAAATTAACATATAATAAGAATTAACAGATTTGCTTAATTAGGACTTAATAACATCAATTATAAAATTAAGAGAATAAATAGATGAAAATTAATTAATAGATAAAGATAGTATGCTTTATTTATGTTTAAGTATATTGATTAAAATTTAAACTTATCAACTTTAAAATTATGTATCTAAACCATAACTAATAGACCTATTTATTATGAATGTTAATTGGTTTGAAAAAAATATTTAAGTATCATGTGAAAATATTATATTAATATGTTCAGATATTGAAGGATTGGTTGATTTAATAGATGATTAAAAAATTAATTCAATAATTGATTGTGCAATAAATTCATTATAAAATAGATAATTTGATATTACATATTGGATTTTAACAGCATTAAACACACTTGTAGATTTTTCATACTGTGATTAAAAGATATTAGGAATAGTTAAAAATTCTAAAATTATTAAATTATTAAAATTAATTTTTGAAAGAATTTAAGAATAATAAATGTTTTTATTAGAAGTTGGTTTAGAAGTATTTAATTATATATATATCAATATAGTTTATTTATAAAACTTTATAATTTTCATCTTTAGAGATAAGATTTTGTTTCTTAAAATTCTTAAAAGATATTTAAAATTTGATTGAATTTAAAGTTTAAAGTTCATTACTTGTTTTGTGTAGTTTTATACTTGTTATTTTATGTGAGTAATTAGAATAAGAAGAATCAGGTAATATTATATCATTACAATTTGAAATTTTATTACATTTAAATGAACAATAATTAACTGATGAAGTAATAGAAACTTTAATAAATATTTGGAATTTACTTGATTAAAATATTTATAAATTAATTAGGAAATAAAAGATCTTATTAGAAACATTAGCAGAATCAAAAAATGAAACAATTTCACAATTAGCAATCAATATGATGGCCATTTAAAATTCAATATCATGAAATATATAAATTATTACTTTAATATATATTTATAATTTAGATGTAAATATTTTTAACTTTTTTTTAAATTTATTAGATTCTAAAATAAAATATTCAAATCTCTTTAATTGTATAATCTATAACTGTAATATTTTAAAGGAACTCTAATAAATAACAAAATGAATGGTTTTTTCTAATATTAAAAATAGGATAGAATTAAAAATAATGAATTTTTAAATGTAGATTGCTATATTTTTAATATATTCATTATTTTTAATCATTTTAGAAAGAATAAATATCCTGTTAAAAAATTTTACTTTATATTAATTAAAAAATAATAAATTCATTATAATTCGAATTCATCCTTAGTTTTCATCTTCTTCTTCTGAGTAATAAACTTCCATACATACAGAGTTTTCTAAATATTATTAATATATTACTTTTAAATTTTGATGAATTTTTTGAGAGGTTAGGGGGCATTTCAAGATCATCTTGATCTTCATCATCCACAATTTTATTATCTTCTAAGATCGCAATAGTTAAATTCTTAGATATAAAATAAAAATATTAAAGATAATCTTATAAAACCTAATTTAAATATAAATTAAACATTACCCTAGGAATTTCTCTATCATTATTTAATATTTCAATATCTTGATTTTTTTAAATTACTTAAACCCAGTTCTTATCATATTGCTTAGTGTAATTTATGAAAATATGATAAAGTTAATTAAATTCAGAATCATTTAATAAAAATTGTTTAGCAGATTTGATTATTTCATCTGGAACTTCAGTAGAATCAGTATTTACTATAATCATTTAAATGTAATTTTACATTTATTATTTGAGTATGCTCTTGAAATTGTTTGTGGTCTTTCAAAATAATCTTTTTATTAAAATTAATCATCATTTTAATTATTTCCTATTAAGTCTTCAAGGTTCTTTTAAGATAAAGCAACTTTTATAATCTCTAATAAGGGTTCCTATTTATTTTGATTTTTTTAGTTAATCAATAGTTCATCTAAATCAAAATTACTATTTTCTAAAGCAAAATTAAGAAATTTTTAAGCATCATTTAAAATAGCATCACCTTAAGTATCTAAATATTCATTATTATTTGATGATGTAACTGATGTTCTTTCTTGTTTTGGAGTTATTGATTTTTTTGTATTATAAGCTGAAACAATCATATCTTTATGAGTTTAAATAAATATTTAAAGATATGAATGCTCTAAATAATAAAACAAGTATGTATAAATGTGTTCACGTTAAAGGTTTTCAATTTTAAATATCAGAGCTTCTGGTAAAAATTGAGATAAAAATCTAAAATAATATTAATTATTATTAATTTACTCTTTATCAAAATTCATATATTCTATAAAAGAGGCAACATTTGATCCAAAAACCTATTTAGTTTCATCATAATACAAACTTGTTTCATGTTAAATTCTTTCGCTTAATAACTCATAGAATTCTTCATAACAACAATCCAGATGTCCAATCCAATGAACTGATATCTAATATTTGATTAAAATAATACTTCATTAATTGAAATATCCTAAATAGATTTATTAAAACTTCTCAATAAATCTATTATCTCTGTATAATATTTATGAGTAGATTCAATTTAAAACCAATCCTTTATACTATTTTTTTATTTTAGTAAGAAATTATCATAAATTTCATAAGTAATTTAAAATGATGGAGTAAAACCTAAGTTTTAATTAGCACCTTGATCAAATTCTTTTAGAAACTTAGCTTATCTTTCTGTTTACAAAGTTCTAATGAAACATTCTATAAGAAATTATTAAAATTAATCATTTCTAATAATCTATAATTAAAGGAAATAATACATGTTTGATCCATAATTAACACATTATTCTCCAAACTGAAAAGCAAGGATATTGAGGATATTAAGGAAATATTTTTGTATGTATATCATTCACAATATTTTCGAAGGGATATATAATTCCATTTAATTCTACAATAGAATTACTATATGCCTCCCAATACATTACATATTCACTTAATAAATCTATACTATTTGTTGAATTAGGAGTGATGAAAGTAGAAAAGTACATTGATAGTCCTTATAAATAGCATTCAATAGAATTATAAAACTATTCTAAAAGATTTATTATGCAAAATTAATCAATGAATAGTTTATCTTCCTCATCCTCTATTTAAATGCTTTAAGAATCCATTTTATATATTTGTAATTATTGTAAATTATTAGATTCATTTTATAAATTCCATCGATATATCAAGAAATTTTATTTAAATGTTTCATTATTTTCTAATTTTTCGCACATTTAATTTATTACTTATTGTTTATTTTATTTTAAAGTGTTCATTAACTTTAATTTAAATCATGTTTTAAATACCTCATTTGATATCAATTAAAAGTCAAACAATCTATCGAATCCCTTTTATTCTAATTCCAAACGTTAAGCAAGCATTATTTAAAATTCTGATTCACAATACTAACCTATTGTCTCTCTTTTTAAAATAGGTTTAGGAAAAACAGATTCACAAAGTAAAAATGGAATTTTTATTGATTTTCTACGAATTCATATTTATTTATTTTACTTCTATTATTCCATTCTTTTATATTGAGTTTTCCAATCTAAAGGATAATTGCTAAAATTTGCTTAACGAATTTGATTTCTCTAAATTATATCTGGATAATTAATTTCAAGTGTCATTTCAAGTTAATCATTAAGAAATTATTTATAGTATTTCTCTGCAAAGAATTAATAATGTTTCTATCTATATAGAAATAATTTGAAACTTAAACGAATTCATTTAAAATACTGCAAGTTTCTCCCAATTTTAAAATATCTTATAAAGTCAAAAACTATGAAGTTCCTTTAAATATTTCATAATTATATAGATTATTTGTAGATATTTCTTAACTAATTTCTCTTTTATATATTTAAGCCTTTAGATCCATCTATATATATATTATATATTTATGTAATTATTATTCAACGATTATTTTTTTAATAGACATTAAGAAATTAAGAATCTGACATATTCTGCACATATAAGAAATGATAATTTAATAATTAAAAGAATGAGTATCTAATAATTAATACATTTAATATGAATTAAACTATATTTGAATGATAATAAGGCTCATAATTATCATTTTTTATTTCTATAACAAATCTTTTCTGTCAATTAAGACGTAATCACATGGACAGTATCACAATCTGATATTCCTTTATTCTATAAATAATCATTATCTTCCAAAAGAGATGTTTCAAATCCGATATATAATCTATCTTATGTCAAGTTAATAATTTCGGCAAGTTATTACTTTAATTATTACACTGTCTTTGTTTCTGGTCTTATATCCAATTCTACAGTCATTCCTGTAACAAATCGGCAATATAGTTTTTTAATATCATTCATTTTATATTATTATTTTTAATAATATTTTTATATTCTATCACTTGTCCTTTAATATCTTCTGTTAATGCTATTTCTATTTCATCATTATAGTCTAATAGTTTTTTTTTGCATAATTATAAACTTTCTTTTATAGATTACATTTAAAATTGCATACTAAGATCATCTTTTTTAATCTCATCTTTATTATCTAAATGAGCTAATGTTACAGTTTTAAAGAAATTGTGAATTCTAGATTTTGCTTACTAAGTTTAAGGTCTATTTCGAAAAGATTAGACACTATAAACTAATTAAGGTCTTTCTGATAAACATTCTAAAAGATAATCATCTTAATAATCAAAAGCTTTTCTAGATGCAGCAGAAGCAGAAGTAGTACATCTTTAAATTTCTAATTCTTAAGATTATTTTTCAGCATCTCTCATTTATTTTTGAATAACTTCTATTTATCTTTTATTTAATTCAGGAGAGTCTTTTATTCTAGCCACTTTTAAAGCTCTATTACAGAGTTTCTCTATTTCAAGTTCTCTTTTTGCTTAAACACTTAATAAACCTAATCTACGTAAAATCTCTTTATTCATCATTTGTTATTTAGTGCTTCTTTTAATTGAAGCTGGTACTTCCTTTGGTCTTTCACTAGGTTGAAAATGGGTAGTAGTGACTTCCGTAAAAAAAACTGGTTATTTTATAGCCTTCATCTTCCTTATTGAAGGTCTTTAAGGAATTTCTTCCGTAGTTATCATAGGTTCTACAAGAGTCCCTACTTTGCTGACTTTTAAACCTTGATTATCTAGACAAAAGTCAATTAGATTAGACTCTGCTTCTTAACTAAAAAACTGTTATTTAGGAAACTATGAATGAGCATATCTTGGTTTTGCTAATTCTTATTCTTCTTTTTGATGTCCGAAATATTTGACAACTAAGATTAGAAGTTATAATACCTTTATATTTTAAGTCTTCTTTTAAATTAGCCATAACAATTCGAATGTTACGCTAAGCTCTTGATTCAGGTTTATCTTATTTGTTCATTGTAATTATCTTCTTTATTTAGTAATGCTAAAAATTAATATTAAATCACCCGAATATATAAAATTTATTCAAATAGTTATGTGAATTCATGGATGTTAGTATATAAAATATTAATAAATTTTATTAACTTTCCAATGAATTACTCACAAAGAGTGCAAATAAAAAAACCAATTGTAAGTATTACAATGAATAGTTTGATGATTATTACCCTTAGTCAAATAATTATATGTCATAGCTATCCAAATCAGTGAGTCCTATTAACAATACTTAGACAAATTTTCAATCAAGATCATTATAATATTCTTCTTACAATTCATTGTACTTATTAATAATGAGTATCTAGAACTTAAAGTAGATAAAAGGAAAGAATATTCTAATAAAAGAAAATACCTATTAGCATTCAAAAAAACTCATTGTTTGACCTTAAATCATCAAAGATGTCTAATTCTAACATGTATTCAACTATTGGAGTTTCTGAATTTGATAAACCATTACACTTTTAAACTGATTAATTAATTTAAAGACCTGTTACAATAGAATCTTAACCAAAATTATAGGAATAAAATAATATTTAAAATTTTGCTCCAATATTAGAAGAAAAGAATGATAGATTCATAAAAATAGGAGTAGTCATTATTATAGTGTTATTATTATTAATAGGCATTCTCAAATTCAAGTGATTTTAAATATTTATATAAAAATAATAAAATATCAATTAATCCGTTAAAATGACTGATATAGACTAATCAATTGAAGCAAGAATAGATAAATTTGAATGTATTCTATAATATCATTATTTTATAGCTGATTTAAATAGAGTAAGTTTATAATAAGATGCTCTTCTTCCATTATTGTAAATGATTGAATATATTCCATCAATTCAAAGAACTGAAACTAATGTTAAATAAGTATAAAAAAAATAAGAAGTGAATGAATAGAAATAAGGGAGATTAGTATAACATTTAATAAAATTATAAAGGAAAGATGTGCTGAAAGAAAATTAAGAGAAATAGAATCTATGCCCTAAAAACCTTAATTAGAGGTATAATAAGTAGATTAGAGAATTAAAGATTTAGAATCTTCTATTAATTGTTTATATAGGTAAAATTAAATTATAAAAAGTAGATGGTATGAAGCAAAGTTAAAAGAAGGATCTTAATAAATTGTTCGTAGCATTGATGATAAATTAGGTACTGATCCAAATGCAGAATTTAATGACTAATTATTGATTGTTGTAAATTAAACAATCAAAAATGCACTTGATAAAATGAGTGAAGATTTTAGAGAACAATTATGTTAAATTAGATAAATGCTATGATTTTTATATATATTAACTGTTAAATAATATTAATAATGCAAGAATTAAGCAATGCAATAATTGAATTTTTCGACTTAGTAATTGAGAAATATATAACAAATTTTGCAAATCCTAAGAGAGAATGGAATTATTTTAAATCTTTGTTATCATCATCTAGCATTGATTTAAATAGAATACAAAGTTATCTCAAAGTATTAAAAAATAGTGCTGATCAATAAAAGCCAACTTTACGTATAGATCCAATTAAAATGGATAATTATATGAGTTATGTTTCACCTTTAAGAGATCATAATAGACCTTTTGAATAATAATTTAATCATAAATTTGAAAATGTTTCACTTAACTAATATCTCAGTTAACCTAGATTAGAACAAAATCCAGTTGATTAATGTGTTCTCTTTAAGAAAATTACATCTAAGATTGTTAATTTAATGGATTCAAATAATATACAATTAGCATTAACAAAAGAAATATAAATACAAATATAAAGACCAATAGAACGTAAATTATCAGATATTGAAAGGTACAAATATATTCAATAATAATCTTTTTGATTGTAAAAATATTCATATTCATTTCAATTAAATACGAATCAAATACTCTTATTAATTATTTCAAATAATTATGCAGATCTAGAACGAGGATTTTCTTTTATTTCATCTTCTGAAGGTTTAATAATTTTAATGGAAAATTACTTTTTAAATTTCATAATAAATTTTTAGACAGCTTCAGCTTCTAAAGAATGGAAAGTAATAATTAAAATTAATTATTTATCTACTATTTATTAGCTTTAAACTTTTTCTAAAAATAAATTAAGATTATTAATTTCTTAATTAACAGCTATTCTTAATGCTTGAAATGTTTTCATAATTTAATCACCCATAGATAATTCATTTAAAATATCTATTATTTAATTAGCTCTCTCAAATTTTTCTTTCTTTTTTATTTAGAAAATTATTTTACTTATCTATTATCTATAATAATCTTGGCTAACTAATTCGCTTTGTGTATATTACCATAATTATGAAATATTTCTCTTAACTCTTATTATGATCTATTATTGAGTAAATCAGCTGCAGTATATTAAATCGATTGTGAATATCGCATATCAAGTACAGAATTCTTTTTGTAACTAAGACCATATGATTCATCATAAACCTAATTTCTGCCATATAAATTCAAGTATCTTACATGTTATACCCAAGATCAGCAAAAATAATATCAAAATATTTCGTATCACTTAGTGTTTTATGCTTATAAAAATTTATAAAATTATCCTATTTAGCAATGATATTCTGTGGTAAATTTTTTATCATCCTTTCATCAATGTCTAATCCTAATCTAGATATTATTTATGCTTACATTTTAAGATTTTTAACATTCTCTAATAAAATCGAACTATGAGCTCCTGTTCCTATTGTGCAATCCACCATATCTATATTATTTTTAAATGTCTTTTTTTAAAAAGCTAAAACCCTCTCTAATATTTCCTTATGCATAACTGGATAATGTTTCTTTAGTATTGGATTATCTTCTTAAAGAATATCAAGGCTCTTTAAAAACTTAAGCCTGCTAAATTTAAACATAATAATATATTTAATAAAAATGGATGACAAATCTAAAATAACACCTTAATTAATTGTTACACCAGATGAATAATCTTAAGCTATCTTATCATAATTATAGAATGATGGACTCAATCCAGATATCTATGAATAAATCAAAAATGATCCTCTTTTTTAATAACTCAATAATGCTCTATAAGGACTCCAATCTACAGATTAAGAAATATAAAAGTTGAATGATGAAGAAAGATTGACATTTGAGATGTTTACAAAGAAATCTTCATTTAATCACAAAAGAGTAGAAGAGAAACAAAAATTAGTATTTAAAAAAGGTTTCAAGATAGTAGAATAGAAGTTCTATTAAAATTAATTGAAAGCCTACAAAAAAAAGAAGTAAAATCAGTAATAAATTGATTTTTATGAGACTCATTTCAAAGAGCTCTCTTTGAAAATGAATAAGCATTTAACCTATTTCATTCATCCTCAAAAGTAAGTTTAAATTACTATTAGAGAAAAATGTAAATAGGAATCATCACTTATTAGTCTGGTTTTAAATCATTCAACTAACCTTATATAAGAACTATATTGAAATCTAAATCTTTTCGTTAGGAGATTAAAAATTACATCCTCAATCATTTCATTTAAGATGTACAAGAAGAAATGAGTTACAAGTTATAAAAATTTATTAAATTTTGTTCTAGAATGTATGAAGAAGCTTTAAAAGAATTTTATATGTATAGTGCTAAAAATGATGATGAAGAATATTTTAGAAATTTTATAAGATTGAAAATGGAATAATCAATAGTTAAAAACTCTAAATGTAAAATTCCATGGTCTTTATAAGAAGTAATTGATGCATAAAAATTTGCATTAAATTTAATTGAATAAGAAATGGATATGGAAAATGAATGAAACATAAAAATATTAATTTATAATTATTTATTAAAGATCTTCTATTAAATCATATGACAAATGTAAATTTAAAAATTGATTGATCTTAATAATATTTAAGATGATTTTTAATTTCTAAGAAAATTTTAATTCTATTACTTTAAAAAAATTAATAAGGTTATGATTTAATATAAAAAAGTGTGTAAGGTTAATAAATTTTAAATTATTTAGAGTTAAATATATGATTAATCAAACTTCTAAAAGTGCCTCTAATTATCTTTCTTAAACTTTTTCTAATTATTATTATTATTGTTATTATTATTATTATTAAACTTATTAATTATTTTCAAATGGCTCTCCATTCAATATTAGAGGATTAAATTAATTTTCATTTTATTATGGAATTTATTAGGTTTATATTTATTCCATATTCGATTAAATCACGGTAACAGATGATTATTCTAATTAGTATTATTTAATTTATTCTAAAATAGTCTCCTTTGGAATCAACTCACCTAAAAATGGATAAAGAATAATATTTTAGGGTTCATTGTAATTTTAATTTTGATTATTCTATTAATTTAAATGTTTATAATCCTCTTCTGACATAATAAATCTTTTTTTTGATTCCATTAACTTTTTTTTCATAATTTGTGTAGAAGGAAATAATTCAGATTCATTGTCTTTAAGTTTGAATTCTTAAGAAATTCTTCTAACTTCATAATCGAAATCATCAGGTCCATTTGAAGATGATGAGGAACTGTGAATGCCATTATAATTATTCAATCTTAATTAATTTTAAGCTAATACTTTAATGGTTTTTCTAGAGGAATGAAAACTTCGCAATCATTTCTATGTTGATCAATCCATTATAATCTTTCAGTAATTGGTCCTTCCATTATCTCCTTTGGTACAACAAATACAACAGGAATATCATCAATGCTACTCTCTTCTGGTTGGTTTTACTATAACTGTTATTCTTATTCTATCTAAGGTTGTTTATCTTCTGGAGATTTATGAAATGTAGACTATAATTTATTGAGCAATTCAGATGCTCCCCATTTAAAAAATTATGGAATTTACAAGACAGCATTCTTTGTGTTCTATAGTATTGTAATGAAATGAAACTTCAACTGCTGTCTAGCCAACTTATTAAAGTGGCTTAACAATGCATTTTTGTATTATATTTGGTCCTTCTACATTCATTTTTTAAACAACTAGAAAATTGAAATTCTTCTATGGAGGAGCTTCAGTCAGTTAATGAAAATGTTCTAATGGTCTACTAGTTGTAATATCTAGAATATAATTTTGATAAGTACCTTCATCAAATTTTTCAAATCCATCCTTATTCATTTAATTTTTAATTTATAATGGGAGCATAATGCTGTAACAATTACTAATACCCAGAAGATATGGAACCATGTGAAGATGCAGAAATGAAACGTCTTGATCCAAGATAAATTAATATTAAGTACAATTATAAGAAGAAGTAAAAAGTGATGAATTCCAGTCAAACTACAAAAACTTAAGAGAGAACTAAGTAGTTGGCTGTTACTTTAAAGAGTGGAGGAGTATACTAAGGTGATTGGATAGGTAATAAGAGGGAAGGCTATGGAATTTTGAAATGGCCTGATGGTTCTGAATATTAGGGGGAGTGGAAAAATAATAAAGCAAACGGACAGGGCAAATTTGTATATGCTGATGGAGATTTTTATGAAGGACAATGGGAAAATGATAAATAAAATGGTTAAGGGATTTTTATATCTTAAAGTGGAGGAAAGTATGAGGGTTAATGGAAAGATGACTTATAATAAGGCTTTGGGATTGAAACATGGGAGGATGGGAGTAGATATGAAGGATATTTTTATGAAGGTATAAAATAAGGGTAGGGTACATATACATGGAGTGATGGCTCATAATATACTGGATTATGGATAAATAACAAGCGACATGGTTAAGGAGTATAAACTTGGAAGAATGGTAAGGAATATCAGGGGGAGTGGTTTGAGGATTTTATGTGCGGATAAGGATCAATGAAATGGTCTAATGGTTGTCACTATATAGGTTTGTTCAATAAAGATGCTCCAAATGGATATGGAATATTCAAGTGGGGAAGTATAAGATTCAAGATATATTAGATGGTAGAAGTTATGAGGGTAGTTTTAAGTTATACAAGCCTAATGGAAAGGGTAAAGTTGTATTAGAAAATGGGCAAACAAGGTTTGGTGAATGGCAAGATGGAAAATTATTTAAATGGTATGATAATTAATAAGAAGTTTAAAAAGAAAACTTTGATGTACTTAATTTGGAAGATTTGTGAAATTCATATATATATACTAATAATCATTATTATGAATGATAATAATATAGGGGATTGGGTACTGGAATCGTTTTAATTTGTTTAGTTATTAGAATTATTAGTTTGATTATTAGTGTTATTTGTAAAAGTTGTTCCACATTTTAAGCATCTGGAATTAACAGAATCCCAAGTGTAAGTATAAGCTGTGGCTTAAAAGCAATTAACTTCTGTTAATGATGCAAATTCCATGGAAATACATTAGGAACTAGTCAAGGCACATAATTCATAATTCTTTTATTCGAAATCTAGAATAGGTTAACAAATTCCTGTTTCTTTAAATTTAGATGAGCATGTGTGTTAAGCACATGCTGTTTAAGTTGATGTTTCAGTCCATTAACAATTCCATGATTTTTTTAAGCAAGCTTCTTTGTTGGATGAGCCATCAGAACAAGATGTCATTAATTTACAAGCACCTTCTCCATTATTTAAATACCATACACATAATCCATCAGATCCTCCTTATTCACATGCAATAGCAGTTTGATATTTATCACATGTAGATTTAATGACACAGCCAATACCACTGTCAACACAATTAGTTATTTAAGAGCAATTATCATTTAATTCTGTGCATAATGCTAGACGACATTTGATAATATTTGGATCATATAAACATTTACCATCTGTACCTAATGAAGTATTGCAATATTCTCTAGTATAAGTTTCACACTTACCCATATTAATACATTTAGTATTATCTGAAGTACAAGTAGATAAACTATCATAGCATTCTTGATGTGTTGTTAAAGTTATATGTTTACATTCTAATTGAACACATTTCTTTTCTTTCTCATCATAATAGCATTTATTTCTTTTTTGGTCAATGTTACATGTACTTTATTTAGTATATGAAGTACAATCTTATAAATCAATACAACTAACTTCATCAGTTGTACAAGTAGGATCAATAAGTTAACATTAAATATGAGTATTAAAAAAAGCAGATTTACATCCATCATATACTTTACATTTACTTTATCCATTTAATGAATCAGGTGTATATACACATCTACCATCTGTTCCTTAATAACAACTTTATTCAGATAAATTGGCACATTTATCAATTGCAATACATGATAATCCATCAGTAGTGCATTCATTACTAAATGAATAACATTATGTATGATCACTAAATATAAGTGATTAACATGATGTATAAGAATAACATGCATCATTAATCCATAAACATGGTCCATCACTTCCATAAAAGCATCCACTCTTTGTTTTTTGACTACAATTTTATTAATTAACACATTTAATTCCATCTGTAGTACATGTACTTTTTGCTTATTAACATTCTTTATGAGTTGTAAAATTGTAATCACTACAAACTTTATCTCTACATCCAGCAGCAGAAAATTCACATTCATTTCCATCTTTATCAGTAGTACAAGCTGCTTATATTTTAGCATCTTTACAAGTACCCTTTAAAATACATCCACCTGATTGATTTACAGTACAACCCTATTTATAAAGTTGACATTCTTTCTCTGTAATATATTTACTTGGAGCACTACTGCATCCAAAATTTACACATCTATTATTAATCCATGCACATTTATTATTAGTTGAATCAGTAACACAAGCTTCTTAGATATATGCATCTGTACAAGTTGTTCTTATTACACATCCATTTCCATTTGTAGTACATTCATTTTTAAATTTTCTACATTCATCATCAGTTGAATAAGATTGTGGAGCATCTGAACATTATAATACATTGCAACTAGGTTGAAATGCACAATGTTAATTATTTTTATCTATAACACATCCAGATTTTAAAGTATAAGAAGTACAGACATCAATATTTATGCATCCTTTTCCATTAGTTGTACATTTAGTGCTATATTATTAACAAGCCTCATGTGTTGTAAATGTTTTATCTGCTTTATCACAAGTTCTATCTGTACATGCATTATTGTACCATAAACATTCTCCTCCTGTTTTATTTTTTATGCAATTAATTTAACTTGTAAATGAGGAACATTTATCATATCTCTCAATACAACCAGTTTTAGCAACATTTACAGTACATGTATTTAGGTGATTATTACAGGCTGCATCACTAGTTGTTTAATCTGAATTAGAACAACTTCTCACTTAACATGCATTAGGGGATGCTTTTTTATTCCAAATACATTTGCCTTCTGTTAAACTTTCTATACAATTTTATTCATATTGATAATCAGAACATAATGATAATTTATTTGTACATCCATCAAAATTTGTACCTGTGTAACTAACAGTACAAATTGATAAAAATGTTTAACAAGCCCTATAAGTATTATATTTGGCTTATATACATAGTCTATCAACACATTAAGTTCCATTCCAATAACATAATTAACCTGTAGATGTAAATGTGCATTAAAATTATAACAAATCATTACAATTAGTTTTTCTAACAATACAACCAGCTTGATTATTGTTTATCATACACCCACCTAAATATGTATTACATTCATTATCAGTTAATGTTAAAGTACTAGCAGTACTACATGTCTTTTATACACATTTATTATCTATCCATAAACATTAAATTGTATTATTATTAGCCATAAAACATTGTTCTTATTTTAAGTAATTAGCACAAATTAATTCTTAAGTTTAACAACCTGTTAAATCTTTCTATACAGTACAACTTTTCAACCAACTCTAACATTCATTATGTGTATTATATTCATCATCTGCATTTTAACAAGTCCTTAAAACACAAGAACCACTCCAAACACATTATTGATTTTAATAATCTATACTACATAAACTTTCTGTTAAATATGTATTACAAGTTCTAACTCCACATTTATCATTAATTAATGTACATGTTGGCATAAATCTATTACAATTAGATTCATTATATATTGTCAAAGCAGCATTTGCACAAGTCATATTTACACAACTAGTACCATTCCAATAACATTTCTAAGATTCATCCAATGTTTTTACACATTAATTTTATGATGTATATAAATTACAAGTAATAGCTCTCTTAATACAACCATTATTTGATGCATTCACAGTACATTCACTCTTAAATTATTAGCATAATAAATCAGTATTAGTAGTACTCAATGCATTTTCACATGACCATATTTTACATCCTTAACTAGCAGTACAATTTTATTATCCTTCACTACATGTTATTGAAAACCAAAAACATATTTATCCATTTACAGATATACATTAACCTTCTTTTGTATAATTTTCACATGATTAAGGACTATCCATACAACCTTACATATTCTCATTAACTGAACATGTACTCATATATTATTAACATTATGCTTAATTAATATAAGTTGTTGGAGCATTGACACATGTTTTCTCTTTGCATGTACCATTATCCCAAAAACATGAATTACCCAAAGTATTTATAACACAACCTTTTTCTGTATATTTAGTACAATCATCTTCAATATTGATACAACCACCTGTTTCTTTAGCTGTGCATTTAATTGACTTAATTAATCCCATTGTTTAACACTTTTCATGGGAATCATAAGTAGTTGGATATTAATCACATGTTGATATTTCTTAGCATTTATTATTCTAACTATCCCAAAAACAAGGATACTGTTAAGTATTAATTTCACAAGCTATTTTAACAAGATAATCATCACAAATTGTACTTACATTTATACATTTTTCACCATCACTTGTACATAAGGGTGAGATAGCCTGACAATCAGCATGTGTTGTAGCAATATAAACTGTACAACCGCTAAATGGTTTACACATTTTATTATAGAATGCACATCCTATAATAGGACAAATAGTGCTCTGAGAACAATATGATTCAATATCAGTTGATTTACGTGTTTCACATAGAGCTGATACACTGTTCCATTGACAATCACTTTAAACATTGCAATCAATTTAACTCAAAATTTATTTACAAACACAAGCATCTGTTTTTGTAAGAGATCCAGCAGACACTAATGAGATTAAACACATTAGTATGACTTCACTAATTTTCATTAATAAAATAATATAAGTATTTTTGAAATTGTATAATGACACTTTTATATCTGATTATTGATTAGTATTCATTACTCAATCTAGTTTTTTTATAATGATTACTAAAATAATCATAATATCAAGAGTTTGTACTTATAATTAAGATAAGAATGAAATATATTTTAATTAAAAATATGACTATAATATTTAATAAAAAAATAAAGATCTATCCAAAAATCATTTATATTATATCAATAATTTTATATTATTAACATTAATACTCCCATAAAAGTAGTTAGAATATAACCATATCTTCCCATTGAATCTCTAATAAATCTCAAATATTATTATACATTTCTCCAGCAAAATGATGAATCATTTTTATTTCAGTTACAAATGAAGGTATATTTGCTTGAACAATCAAATCATATACTAATTCATTAAATTTATCTGCATCTACATTTTTTTTACCTTAAGTCAATTTTTGAGCTGCCATATCTAAAATTTATAATTTTTCTCTAGGAGATCTTTTATTAACCATGCTTGATAATATTGCAATTGCTTTTTCTTGTTTATTTTAAGATTTTTATATTTTTTGAATATTAGTTCTATAAGCAATTATTTTACTATGTAATCCCTTATCATATTATAGTTTAACAAAATCATAAAAACTCTCATTTCCAAACAATTCATCTAAAATAAGCATCTGTATTTCATCAATTTATTATGGTGCTTTGTATAATTTTTGAATCAGATCAGCAAAAAAGTGAATAAATTGATTAATCTCCATTTTTAAATCAATATGACTAGATAATTGAGATTATTAAATTTACAAATCTGTTGCCTTTATGAAACTCCAAGCTAATTATGATTATTAACTATTATCTGTAATAATGATGGATTTTTAAACTAATGAAATCTTCATCTGAGAATGAAACATCAAATCCTTGGGATTCTGAACAAAACTATAAAATATATCACTTATCATTTGTTTTCTAATATGTAGATGCTATTAAATCGTTTTAAGTGTAGGCTAAACTCTGAATTCATTTAATAATGGCATATGATTGTAATCTTTATTGATGATCTCATTTACTCGATTATACCAACTACAGGATAGGAATAACTTCACTAATATCTGAATTTGTTGTTATACATTCTGAACCAACTGTTTATTATTATTTCTATTATTCTTCCTAAGTACAACATATATTCTTATTTCCCATTAATTAATTAACGAACATGAATAATCTTCAATACCTCAATCACAACACTTCCAACCCTCTTGATAATTACATAATAGGTGCATAAATTAAACTATATAGAGCAGTCCATTGGCAAGGGAACCTTTGGCAAAGTCTATAGAGGTCTTCATAAACCTACTCAATAATTTGTAGCCATCAAGATTCTAGAGAAAAGCAGAATAGAATAACCTGCAGATTTCACTAGAATCTAAAGAGAGATTCATATTCTTCGTAAACTTCGCCATCCAAATATTGTTTAATTATATGAAATTCTTGAATCAGATACTAAAATTTATCTCATCATGGAGTTTGTAAGTGGAGGTGAACTGTTCCAACACATAGTTAAAAATAAACGACTCTCAGAAAATGAAGCTGCAGCACTCTTTTCATAAATCGTTGAAGCCATAGAATATTTGCATTCACTTAAAATTGCTCATAGAGATCTTAAACCTGAAAATTTACTCTTAGAAAATAATACTCTAAAAGTAGTCGACTTTGGTCTAAGTAATACCTACAGTGATCTACTTTCAACTCCTTGTGGTTCTCCTTGTTATGCTGCTCCTGAAATGGTTTCTGGTATCTAATATTCAGGCATCAAGACTGATATTTGGGCAAGTGGCATAATATTATATGCCATGCTTTGTGGTTATGTACCTTTTGAAGATTCAAATACAAGAAAACTTTATGAGAAGATAAAATATTCTGATTTCTAAAGACCTTCCCATTTGAGTCCTCAAGTCATTGATTTATTATAAGGATTATTAAATAAGAATCCTTTAAATCGATTGAGTATAGCTAAAATCAAGATGCATCCTTTTGTAAGGTAACAACTATTATAATTTTATAAGCAAATACTCTTATTCTGTTCAAATACATCGCACTTTGGCTATAAATTCAAACATAATCAAATAGTTATAAGCAATTGGAATTGATAGTTAAAAATGTAGAGAAATGATCATTAATAACAAACATAATCCAATAACAACTACTTATCACCTTTTAAATAAATATCAAAAGCCAGTTTTGCAAAATTAGAGAGTAAGAACTCATCAGAGTATAAAATCAGTTGTTGATAAACCAAGTAGTTCAAATGAACGTAGACCTAATTCAAGCATCTATCATAACAAAACAAAATCATATGAAAATAATTTTAATACCGCTATGATTATGAATAGAGGATATGATAATCGTATTTCAGAAAGGCCTAAATCTACTGAAAGAAGATTATGCACAGAAAATGATAGATGGGAGCGCATCAAAACTTAGTATGAGACAAAAGAAAATTCATAAAGGAAAACTCATATGTCGAAACCAAGTAAATCCCCTGTTATGTATGCCGAATATAAATTGAAAACAGCAAGAATTATGTGATTAATATATATATAATAAATGAAGAATTAAATTTCTAGTTTTATCCTCAAGACTTATAACATTTTAGAAGTATAAAATATCACTAACATAGAATAATATGTATGAAGATATAGTTAGTTGGAATGAAGATGGGCTATCTTTTACAGTCAAAAATATAAGTCAATTCTCATCGATTGTTCTACCCATCCACTTCAAGCATTAAAATTTCTCTTCATTTATTAGATAGGTAGTTCTTGTTATTTCATTAAGTTAAACATGTATGATTTTCATAAAACAAGAGGAGGAAGTGTCAATGAATTCAAAAATGAATATTTCCAAAAAGGCAGAAAGTATTAACATATTTAATTAGGGATCTGCTACATTAAATTAAACGGAAAGCACATAATGAACTTATACCTATAAATTAACCTATTCAAAATGATTCATAAGATTAACTCAATCAGGTAACAACTATAAATTTATTATTAAATTCTAGCTCTCCCAAAAATGCGATTACTTACATAATCTATGCTCCACACTTCTAGAAAGAAATCATAGAGTGATCAAAGATAATAAAACACTTTAAAAGGTACTAACTAGCAATAATAAACTCTATCTTCAAGATGAATTCAAGTAACCAGAATAATTGTGTATAACAAATGAAGAACTTACAAATAATGTTTAATGACAATTAACTATAATTTTTATAATTAAATGTAAATATAGAGTTTATACTTAATAAATTTTTATGTATTCATCTATCCATTTTCTAGATTATTAAAAAATAAATTAATAAATTATCAAAATTCAAGTAATCCACAAATTTTTACAACTCTTATTTTAAATTTATTATTTTTATTATTTAAAAGATACATAGTAAAATTATTAGAATATTTAAGAAAAATAGAACAATTAAAATATAAATCAATCTACCTTCTATAATTAATAATTAAAAGGATAATATCAACTCTATTATTTTCGTGTACTTATTTTTGTAATCTTAAATATTATTGCAAAATATTATTAAGTATTTATATGGCTAATTACTTGAATAAAATTCTCTTTTAAAATTGGCTAAAGAAGGTGAAAAGATTCTCAAATTTAATTATAATTTGTAAACAAAATAAAATATATATATTATTTAATGTCAATCAATTTTAAATATAATATAAAATTCTATAGAACTTGAATATTTTTAATGATAATTAAGTATATTTATCAGATTACTTTTAAATTCTGAATTGCTTCTTTAAATTAGTAAATAAGAATATTATATACTTGCTTTTATTTTCACAAAAATGAATTTAATCCCATTTTTTGTTATAATAATAAAATAATATAGTGTTTTGATTAGATGCATTCTGAGTCAGTAAGATAAAAAGCAATCAGATACATTAATGAACTGTAGACAGAAGAAGATGATAAATTTCTTCCATATAAATAAGAGAGGGATCATGTTGGATTATTATTGAATACAAAAAGAAAATCGAAATCAACAAATTAATTGAATCTTGGAGCTCGAATCAAACATGTTTATAGTTTAGCATCGATCACAAAATAATAACCATCTTAATCAATGAAATAAAACGCTCTTTAGAAACATAAAAAAGAGAACAGTGCTCATAATTTAGACTTATCACTTTTAGTCAACTTATAACCTCCTTCTCCAGAAGAACAGGTTAAAGCTAAGTAATACAAGGACATGATGGAAAAGAAAGCTCTTTTAGAAATGTATGAACGGAAAAAAGATACTAAAGTTATGAGTCCTGTGTTAGAAGAGATGATTGAAAAACTCAATTCAAGCATTACACAAGATAAATTTGTTTGGAAGATGAGTAATGTAGACAAGGGTAAGAATCTTGGTTATTTATTTCATGAATCTAAATTAAGAAAACATAATCGTAAAGTTTAGAAATTACAACCTTCTCTTCCTAATTATGAACCAAATTACTAAGCTATTCTACCAAAATCAATATCAATTCTTATAAAACCTAGTGAGAAACCTTCTTATTCTCAATAAATCTAAGAATTTATAAGAAAAAATCAGTTAGATAAGGAATCACCTAAATAGCCTTTGACAATTTCTAAGAAGGATAATACTCTTGAGAAAATGTATAGTATAATATAGAATCAAATTACAAGGGAAGTAAATTAATCCCTTATATCGAATCCTCAATCAATGAATCCATTAGAAGAATTTAGTGCAAAACCTATTGAAGATACTTATATTTAATAATTTCATTTATAAGTAAAATAAAAAATGAAGGAAACAAATAGGGCTAGAAAAAATATTTAAAATAAAATATAAGAATTTGATTCTTATTTATAGAAACATAATTGATTAATATTAAGATTCTTAATTATTATTGATAAATATAATAGATAGATATTACTTATTTTGTTTATTATTAAGTTCAAAACATTTACAAATTTTTGTGTGTTAAATATCAATTTTATACATATAATTTATTAAGTAGAATGTCAGAGGAAGAATCTGATTAAGTTTTTGAGGAAGGGCCATCAAAGAAATGTAATTGTAAAAACTCGAAATGCATAAAACTCTATTGTGAATGTTATCAAAATAAAGTATTTTGTGATAATAATTGTCATTGTCATAATTGCTTTAATAATTCCTCCAATGCAGTATCATTCAAAATTATAAATTAGAAATAAAGATTAAAGGCTATGTAATACACATTAGAGAAAAACCCTAGTGCCTTTTAGCCTAAGATAACTACTTCTGATTCAAAACCAGATCCATTAAATTTTGGAAAACACAACAAAGGTTGTCAATGTAAAAAGAGTGGTTGTATGAAGAAATATTGTGAATGCTTTTAAGCTAAAGTGCCTTGCTCAGATTAATGCAAATGCATAGAATGTAGAAATTATGGATTCTTAACTAAAGAGCATTTTATAAGGGCTACAAGAGGAGATGAAGATGATTTTTTATGTAATAAATTTAAGTATATTTAGATCAATTATTATTGACAAAGGATTAAGATCATTTATAATCTGTGCTTTCATATAAAAAACCTTTATTTGAATAAAAAGAAATTGAAGATGTTAGTAATTAAATAAAAAAGATAATCTCAAATAATGAATAAAGCCAAATAGATCCAATACTTGATGTTTTTATTAAATTACTAAAAAATGCCTCTGATTGATATACATTAGTAAATCTATAAAGTTTTCATATTTATATTCACTATTTCATTATTTTATTACTATAAAATCATAAAAAAACTCTAATTCAATCTAAATAAATATATTATATTATCTTATTATACATATAGGTTAAATTATAAATGATAATCAATTATAATATTATTAATAAGAATTATTGTAAATGATCTTAAAATGTCATTATTCTTAAAATCTAAGGGAAACTATCTCTGTGGGATGTATTCTGGCTGGATCTTTAAAACTCTTAAGAATAAAATTATTAATACATATTCATATTTTAATTCTCTATATAATTTTAATTGAAGTTGTGAATAGAATTTTTCTTATCTTGAATATCTAGTGAGTTATGAGATTTCTTCCAAATTTTATTCAAACTCATGATTTATTATTGGATTATGCTTAGTATAAAGATCATAGTATTTGAGAGATTCTTAAAGCATTTTATCATCATAATTTCTATGAATTCTTTTTTTTATAATACATTCTTTTTTTGTAATTATCACATAAGTTAGAAAAAAATACTATAAAGCATAAATATAGTTAGTAACACTTTTATAATCAAACGACCAAAATGCTATATGAAATATTTATTTTGAAAGTAATTCGAATAATAAAAATGCTAACAAATTATATCTTGAAATATGAAATTTAACAGAAATCTTAGAACTTACACCATTTGTTACAAAATTATATTTTTCCATCCAATAGATAACAATAAGAGCCAATATGGTAATAAAATAACACATGGGATAAATATACCCATAATAACAACAAATAGAAACTAGTTAAGTAATTGATAATCGTTTTTTCTAATAATCAAGTTAACGTTCATATAATGAATTTGCCTCTATTTAAGTTAGATCTGAATTTTTTTTAATTCTTTTAAACCAAAATCTTTTTATTAATTGTATTGCATAAGTCTCATCTATTATACTGAATATTATTGGGAAAATTGCATTTAATATTTAGATAAATAGGATATCTTCACTTAATCCTCCTGATCTCCATAGCTTTTATTGCCTAGTTCCACTTCCTGAATACACACCAACAAAGATTGGAGGAATTAAATAAAAATATTAAATTACTATTGTTTCATAAAATAGTGTAAATATTCTCCTCTTTTTACGATTAGAATTGAAGTCTTTCAAACTAAAAAACTATTATATTGACTTTTCACAAAATTTAGTTAATAGATATAATAGTAAAGAAACTGTTAAACTTAATAATGTATTTTAATATGAATTACTGTTGTCTTGATTCCCATTTTCAACAATATAATTTTATTTTGCTACTTAAATTCCTATTATAGGAAGCCAACCAAAACATATAAAAAATAATTTTACATATTCTAGATTTGAAAATGTAGAATCATTATGCCAAATTACATCCGATGGTCTAGGAGGAGATTCTAATTTAAATGAATTAGGTACAAAGACCCATCTAAAATATCTTACAAATTTTATTAATTCAGCCTTTTATTTTAAAGAAAACAATTACTTAATTTGAAAATGTAATAAAAGCTGTTCGGTTAAACTTTAATACCGTTTGATCTTAAATGACACTATGAATGTTAACTATTTTACTTATAACATCTCTCAAGGATCTATTTCTAAAAAGTAATATACGTGCATTAATTATTTTATATTGTGAACTATTATCTGATCTTATCTTTTAATAAATATTCTAATTGTTCTTGATCATACATCAAACATATATCCACAATATTATAAGTTATTGGTTTTTTTTCCCATATTCCTTTACTAAAAAAATCTTAAATTTTTTCCATATTCCAATTACTAGGTATTTGAGAAACTTAAAGGGAACAGTACTTTATGACCTTTTCTAAATCTTACTCGTTGTCGACATTTAAACAATGGTTTTTATAATAAGTAATGTATCCAATAAAACAAACTTAAACTAATATTGCTATAAAATATAAGATATCTAGATAAATATCTTGAAACCTGATAAATTTAAATATTTATATACTCATCATTATCCATTCTATTTAAGAGAGACAAGTAATTATTAAAATTTTTCTTGCAATTTTGATGTTTGTTACATTAATCTCCTTTGAGATTCTCTTGAATATTATATATTCCAAATATAAGACTATTTATGAATAATAATTTACAATCCTATGACTAATAATATAAAGTTTAATTTGATATAGTTAAAATATTTATATGAATATCCATGTTGACTAAATACTTTTACATTACATGTAATTGAGTATGGAATTGTCTAAATCGGATTGTTACAACATTAACATCTTTCTGAGTCTTGGATAATACTTTGATAAATGGTTTATGATTTCTTATCATTATAATACTAATTAAAGTACTCCATGCTTTTATGCGTATTCAAAATCTACAGGAGATTTTAAATTGTAATTTTGAGATTTAAGAAATTCATCTTATTGAACCTCCATAAAGATTCCCAATAATAAATTGATTTTAAATGTATTTTAATTACTCTTGATGATATTAATTTAAATATTATTAAATTCAACAGTTATCAAAAGATGCTAATTATTTATGAAAGGAAAATTTGAATTAAAAAAAAAGGGTTTCATATTTTTTACAATTCTCAAATTTTCAATGAATCATCTACATATATTAAAATCATTTATTATAATTATTTATTTATGGTTGCTTAATTTAAGAAAGATTTCCTTAAGAATAATTTTAAATTCTTGAATATGATAATTTTAATAATTCAATAACGTGTCTGCATTTGTTTAAATTTGGAATTTAAAGTTAATTTTTTATTTATTTCAAAAATTTTCATATTTATATTGAAATATTCAATTCTTTTCTTTAATTTTAATATTAACAAGATTTTAATAAACTTATATATTTGATTGCTTCAAATAATAATGATACTTAATATATTAATATAATTTATTTTTAAAAGTGTAACTAAGTAAGATAATTTATTTAATATGTATTATTTAGTAATAGAATTAATTATAATTTTGAACCAAAAATTCTTATGATAATGATAAAAATACATCAAATATTTGAGAATTCTTTGGTTGTGATATTATCATTGTTTCAAAATTGAAAAAAAAGAGTCTTCATTAGAAAATTAATTTAGCTTACTAAATTCAATCCATTTATAAAGAATATAACAAATAATTAAATTCTTAATTATTTCAATAATTACTTAAATAAATAAATAATATCAATAGTTTATAATGAAGATTGTTTTCACATTCAAAGAAATAGCTTAATTAAGTATTATTTCTAATATAATTACTAGTATATGTAATTTATAGAATGATTTTAATACAATTCATTAATAATTTTACTAAGGACTTTTATTTATTCAATCTATATTAAGAATATGTATAAATGTTACAATTGAATTATTGATAAATATATTATTTAAATGAAATTCAAACAAGATTGTTGTCATAGTACAAATATTTGGAATATATCAGATTGGAGACTACGATCATAAATATTTATGGCATAGATATGCTTCTTAATTTTAATTACTATAATGGTAGGGTGTAGCATATTAGCCATATAATATAAAATTATTGATACTATAGCAAATGATTCAATTCATGTTTTACAACAAAAGATTATGAGTCGACAATCTGCAATTTATTAATCATTATTTATTGAATAGCTAAATAATGGTTTCTTTTCTGGAGCATAATCTATTAACTCAATTAATGATTTATATTAGTATGCTATTGAATTAGATGTAAAATTTTAAGAAAATTTGGATGATTGTTCTATTTTTGATGAAAATGCATCTGAAACCTTAAAATTAATCGAAAATTCTTTTTGTTTTTGTTTTGGATTACCTAATTAATCTGCACAGTAAGAATAATATAAAGATAAATTAATTTTATCTAACTTCCTTAGTTAAACAGCTTCTATGTAACGATCACATTATTAAATATATTATGCATCAATAAGTGAAGATTAGTTTTATTCAATTGACCCATGTTAACCTATACCAAAGGAATGGGTACCAAAAGAAAGACCATGGTATACATCTCATAATTAATCTTCATCATTTCTCTAAATAACAGATATGTATTTGGAAATAGATATTGGAGTTTGTTTTACTTAAACAAAAAGTCTGTTCAATAAAGAAAATATAAGTATTGCAATTATTGCAAATGATTTAACTATGAATTAGTTTACATTATATGATCAAATACTTCCAGTAAAATTCATGTTAATTGATTTAAAAGGATAGATTTTATTAAATTATATTTATTTGAAAGAATAAAAAGAGATATACTATTTTTATAATGTTACAAAAACAGGTTTTGATGAAAATGATTTTAAAACTCTTTTAAATTTTTTAAATGGAGAGATATATGAAGATTTATGTCCAATAAATATTGATAATACATTTTGTTTGTTTAATAAATAGGAATAAAAAATTAAATTTATAAGTTTATTTAACTTAAGAGAAATGAATTATATATTAGTTTCTGAATTTGATCCAGATCTATATATAGAAGATATTAATATTTTTGTCTATGAAATTGAAAATAAAAAACTATTATCAATATATATATTTATTGGTGTGATTGGATTTTCAATTTCATTATTTTTTGTATCCTTTTTGATTAATACTTTAATTCTCCAATAACCATTATAAAATTTACTTTATTATACAAATTTACTTAATAAAAGTACTAAAACAATAAAATAAAAGAAAATTACATTCTCAAATTCAAACACAATAGGTAGACTTAATCTGGCATTTTAGAGTTTATTAAATCAATAAAATTAAGGGAAATAAGATAATAAAGAATTAGCAAAATTAAGATTTGAAATGTTTTCTGAATATCACAAAAAATAAAAAGAATATTCTTAATTTAATCTAAGAAAATATATTAATCGATCTAATTTATTGGTATAAAAATAAATTAATAATTTTAAGGATTTAGAGCTTTCGTAATAATTTAAACTTAATCCAGATCAAAAGGTGATTAAATAATTAATTTAAATGAAGAAAATCATATTTTCAACTTTTTAAGAAATTAATTTAAGATGAAAATTACTAAAAACTAAATTTGCATTTATGGTTCTGTATTTTAATGTATAAATTCATAATTTTGGTTCTTATTATTCTAATTTTTCAAGTATATCAGGATTAGATGTTTGATCTTTTCTGGGTCTTCCTGATTTTGTATTATATTTCTTATACAGTGCAACTATGCAAGCTCCTCCCAAACCAATATTATGTTATAAAGCATATTGTAATCCAGGAACCTATCTTTCTTCTGCCATTCCCCTTAATTACCAACATAATTCTGCACATTAGGCTAAACCAGTTGCACCTAATGGATGTCCTTTTGATATAAGTCCACCAGAAGGCTGAAAAATATAAATTATATATATTTACATTCACAACTACACGTCCACCATAAGTATTATATCCTTTATCTATAAAATCTCCAGCTTTCCCTTCTTCACATAGACCTAAAGCTTCATATGTAATTAATTCATTTGCTGAAAAACAATCATGCAATTCACAAACTCCAATCTAAGAAGGCTTAACACCTGTTTATTAATAAACTTATTAAGCAGCTCTTTTACTCATTTCATATCCAGCTAAATTCATCAAACTCTAATCAGTGAATGTTTTTTCACTATCTGTAGTCATTGTAATTCCTAAGATTTACACTGCTTAATCTTGTAAATTATGTTGAAGTACAAATTTTTCTGTACAGACAATAGCTGCAGCTGCTCCATCAGATGTTGGACAACATTAAAGTTTTGTTAAAGGACCATGTATCTTTGCGGATGTAATAATTTCTTAAAGGGTGTATTTATCTCTGAATTAACTATATGGATTTCTAGTTGAATGTAGATGGTTTTTATATGCTATAAGTGCAAAATGTTCTGGTTTTGTACCATATTTTTTCATATGTTCAATTCCTGCATTTCCAAAGATTTAAGGTGCAAATGGAGCAGTGCTTTGCTCTCCCATTTCCATTGTTTTTAGAACTATTTTATCAAGTGGTTAAGTTCTATCTGGGAATTTCATATTCAATGATCCTTTTTCCATTTTTTCAAATCCAAGTGCCAATGCACAATCATATAGTCCTCCTTTTAATAGTTAAGTCACCATATGTAAAGCACTAGACCCTGTTGAACAATTGTTATTAACATTATACACTGGAATTCCACTCATTCCAACTTCATACAATGCTCTCTATCCACATGTTGAGTCACCATATACATATCCTATAGAAGCTACTTAAACAGATGAGTAAGGAATATTAGCATCTCTAAGAGCTCTTTTAGTAGCCTAAGCTGCCATTTGTGGATAGTCAGGGTTTCCATCTCTACCAGGTTTTATAAACTTCGTCATTCCAACGCCAACTACGTAAACATTCATTGATAGATAATATTAAATATAAATAATTGATGTAAGACTCTAATTTTTAAGTACTTATACTATTGTTTAATATAAAATAACAATGTCATTTTATTACTTAAAAAGGTAGATTTGAATTGAAAACATATATACCATTTTATTTAATAAATTCAATATTAATTATTCTTACAATTTATTATTTCTTCTAATAAATTTACTAAAGTTTTATTATACTCGATATTTTCTACATTTTATGCGTTCAATCCCAATTTTAATAATTAAATAAGCCATTTACTAACTTTTTTCTATTGTAAATTAATCTATAAAATTGGAAAAACACTTTCCATGAATAAAATTTGAGATATGCTTATTAAAGTTTAGGATTCAGAATATCTTAGTTATTCTAAGCAGCCATTCAAAGTTTCAGGTTTGTGTATAGGTTATTAAAATCCATAATAAGCATCACTAAATCTTTAAATTAATTATTCAATAAATTCTAAAGGTTTGGATGTTAATTTAACTATGACTTTTGCCGAAATAAATTCTTAATTTATAAAACTTAATTATTTATTAGTATTTTAATTATCAATTAATACATCTAAATGTTCTGATCCATTCTTTACTCTATTCCATTACATAGCCCATTATTCTAAAAAATATCTCATATATAAATGTGTATTAAATATCTTGCATTTTTAATATTACTCAGTAAAAATTGTTAAAATTTTTTGTTTATGTTATTACGATATTGAATTATTTAATTAAATAGCCTAAACCTCAAGAATTTCTAAACATTTTTATTGAATAGATTATTTTGCAGTGCATTCATAGGCATTAATTTTAAAACTAAACTTTTTAGGTCTTATTTCCTCTTTTAATAATTCATTCAAAGGTTTCTAAAAATCTTCATCCAAATTATAAGCCTCAAATAATTCATTAGGGGAACATTATTACAAAAGATGTTATATTTATTCAATAATAACAGTCCAGTTTTCATCTGTAAATGATTGTCCTCCCAATTAAATTATGGTTTTAAGTGAATCTAGACATAAAGTTGAAAGAAACTTAAATAAATTAAAAATATTACATCTTATGTTTACAACACTAGCTAAATATAAATATCAATTAAATCATTTAAACAAGGTTACATTTATTTAATATAAAGTACAACTAGATCTGTCAATAAATAAAAGGTCATTTTACAATTTTGGATAACTTATTATTTTGTTTATGATTGTTTTGTAAATTATGATTTAGAAAACTATATTTCATCAAATAATGGTTTTATCACACCTCTCAAAATCATTTTCCAAAATTCATTAGATTATTATTCCCCATGTATTTTTAATAATTCAAATAAAGTATTAACACTTTATTATTATACAGCCACTCTATCATCACTATATAAAATGGATAGAGCAGATAAAACAGGAATCCATAATTAATCTAAATATTTGGTATCATCTCTTTTAATTTAAACAATGTGATCAACTAAAACTTTTAATTGTTTGATCGAATTTGAAACTATATTAATATCTTAATTTTTTGTCAATTTAATTAATGCATATATAAGTTCCAGATAAATTTCCGAATATACTTATTAATTATTCACATCTTCCATAATTTTATCAGTAATCTAAACACATAATCTAACCAATTATTATTAATCATCTTATAGAGCTTAGTTTACAATACTCATAATAATTTTCCAGCCACTTTTAATTGAATTGAAACAGATATTAGTAATCATAAACATACAAGATAATAAATATTCTTTTAATTATATCTTATTTTACTATTAAGCTTAAGTATGACTAAATATTTATTCAAATGGCAGAAGAAATTCTTTTTAGAAATGATAATTAATCAATTCAGGTTATTATAAGAATTTGCAACTTAATTATTTTAATTAATCTATAGCATAGATTGCAACATCTACATTTTTGAGACATCCTACTTCAAGAAAATGTTCTCTCATGATTTCCCACATTCTAGACCAAATAATCTTAATTCTATTCATATTAAAATCAGCAACTTCAATCACTTTACTTAATAAAAATATCCTATTATACTTAATTTCCTCTTTAGATAATTCACATAATGCTCTAATAAATTCTAGTATTGAATTGGAATCTAAATTAATTGAACTATTAAATATTTTATCAATCTGATCATATTATATTTATTTAAACAATCTTTCAATATTAATTATGTCATCTTAATTATAAGTCTCTTTGTAAGGTGAGTCTACTTTTATTTTCTTTACTACTTGATGTAATTATTCTAATCTTGATATTAATTGCAAAGCAATCTTCCAACTTTTACGTAAATATTATCCACTTTATAAAATAACTTTAATCAAAGTTTGTACTCCCAATATTTATTTATAAGTATTTGGGATATTTGTACAATATCTATATAGAAAACTAATAAATGTATCTTTCTCTTCATCAAGATCAAATTTACCCATTAATTAAATAAATGCTTATATTGTTTCAAAACATAATTATATTTATTTTTAATCTTCAGTCTATTCTAAAAATACACTTATTGATGCAAATACTACACTCCATGTTTATTATAATAAAGATTTCATATGTTCTATTGAATTAACATAATAGAATGCATCTTAATTTGGATGTTCTTTAAACCATTTTTTTAATGAATTTTCTGCCTCTTTAGCTAACATTGCATGTCTCTTTCTAAAATCTACTTAATTTGCTTATTCTAATGCCCTCTTTGCTTATTCTTTTGCATGTAAAGCTAATGGTGTCTGTTAAATCCTTGTATAAAAACCTTATAACATTTCTTAAGGAAGATTTTCTCCATCATTAATCCCCTTAGCTAAATTAGTAAATTGAGCAAAAGTCATTTTATCTAGATTTCTTTCATTATGTAAATCTGTTTATAACATCATAAGTAAATATGAAAGTGTATATGCAGCTTATGCTGATTAATAAATTCCAGGATTGTCTACACAATATTTTGATGCAAATTTTTCCATAATTCTATCTATTTATTATGATTCTCCTGGTAAAGTAAAGAATTCTAACATATATCTTAAACCCTCATCTACTTATAATCCTTTAAAATTCATTATATCTACATATAATGAAAACACTTTCTAATCAAATTCATTTGAACTACCAAATAATTCCCCTAATTTATCTTTATTTAAATCTCTATTTTCCCAAAGAAATTACGCAAATATCTGAGGATCTCTGTTTTCCATATATTATACGGCAATTAAATGTTTAATACAATGTTCAGGTTTAAAATTAAATTTTTGAACAGCCTTATTCATTTCTAATTTCATTTATTTCTATTTTTCAAGTGGATCCTATGATAATTAATGTTATTAAATAATAGTATCTTCTTATTCTTCATGTGATTAAATTTAAACAATATTTTGTGAATCTTCATATTATTCACAATATTCTTTTAAACTTCTAACATATCCACAATAATTATCTAAACATAAAGATTTAAGATATGTTTCTTGATAAGAAGATATTGTAGCTTAATATTCTTGTTTATTATATCTTCCTTAAATAATTCGACATTGCATATCTAAAATTTTCTTAAGTAAATTATTCTATCCTACTGAACAATCATAATTTACAAATATTTCTATAACAACTTTAGGACGAGTAAGAATTTTATTGAAAACTTTCAAAGTATATTATTTATGATCAAAAGAACTATTACTACTCTCTAAAAATTTAAAATATACATTTTCTATTAAAGCCTCTAATTCTTTTTTTAAATGGCTTCTAACTTTCCAAATCAATTAAATGAAAATGTTTAACGTCAATATTAATAATTGTTTTTCAGCTGAAAGAGAATTTTTGAGCAATGATTCTAATAACTATTCTTTCAATATTAATATTAATTTAGGTTTATTTTGCAATATGATGTCACTTTGAGCTAAAGCATCATATATTAATTCCAAAGAAAGAACTTTGCATTTTATAATTAATTAAACTAATGATGGATTCTAAGGATCTCTATAACTCAATTAACAAAGCATTTCTAATATTTCATAAGCATCTTTTTCATATTATTAACTAAAAATAGAATACTAATTAGAATAAGAAAAACTTAACATCTAATTTAAATGTATAAATTTGCATTCTTAGCTACAAATTGGTACTTTAGTATTTTTACAATATTATGATGCTTGTCTTCTACAAACAATACACCAACCGAATTTACCATTTTTTATATTTATCTCATTAACTAAATTAACTTATATCTAATTGTTATCAATTGTTACATTTCTTAAACTAGCTTCATGTAAATTTAAATCAATCACCTTAATTTTATTTAAATCATCTTATTGTCTTTCATATATTGATCTTTTTTCACAATAAATTTAAACTTCATCAACCATATATGTCATTAAAGATTTGATGTATTATTCAGCATTAACTTAAGCTTTACATTTCCCAAAAATTAATACTCCATAATTATGTTATTATTAAATTGCTAATTAATATTCCTCTTCTGTAAGAATTCCATAATCTTCAAATCTTGTAAAATATGTACTAACAATCTTTTGACAAGCCTCTTTACTAGTATTTATAATTGCAACAATCTTTGAAACTAATTAATATTATTATATTGTCTACCTGAATGAAAATTTATTAATAGTGAAAATACTCTTGTCACAGATTCCCCATAGATATGATGTTTTCTATTTGTCATTATAGCTTATATTGCTTTTATCATATATATTTAAACGGTCTCTTCCTTCTCCTATTGAGTTTACATCACCAAATCTAATGCTATCTCAATTGCTCTTTTTTCTCCTATAATTTATTCTCCTGCTAAAAAACCCTAATCTACAATATTCTATGATATTTTAGAGTTTTACTTTTATATCAAATAATGCCAATTCAATCAATTTAACTTATTTTGATTCAATACACTATTAATACACATTTATTAAGTGATTTGCATCATAATAATCCTTAATCTCTTTTTAATAATAAATATATTTACATAAAGTTTTTTCTATGAGCTATTTCAATTCAGATTACTTTTTTGTTATACCCTTTTTGATTTTGTCTAATGATTGATTGATAAAATCACTTAAATTTAATGACATTTTATAATTATATAAATATATAATTCTATATTTTTAATTAAACCATCATAATGATTTCGATTGAATGTTTACAAATAAGATTTATAATGTAATTATTATCAAAAATTATTAAACTATGTATTCTATTTATCACTAAAATTATCCATTTCATATCCAGAAAATTAAGCTATTTTTATATGAAACAATTATACATTGTATTGAATTTCTTCTTAACATAATTGAATGCTATTAAATAAGCTCATTATTTTCATCATCCTCAATTGATATTTATCTAGCATCAAAATTATCTTCGTTTTACTAAATTATTTAAACTTTTAATACATTAGGAATATATGGAGATTTCAATTCTTTATTCATTAATTTCTACCATGGAAAATTCTTGAACCAGGAATGTTATCTCAATTCATGAGGACCATTAAATCCCAATCTATTTGCAGGCTTTCTTTATATTAACTTTTAAATTTATATATTATGAAATGTACTCTATTTATAAAATCTGCAGATTCTAATGACCAATTATCAGGAATCTCAGACCTTTTTATTTGAACTTATTTTGCAAGAATCTAATCTCTTATTTCCTTTCTTGATCTACCAGTATAAGGTCTCTATTTATGAAAAAAAAATTTTACTTTTCCCAACATAAATTCATATCCAATAACTCCCAAAGCAAAGTAATCTACAGCAAAAGAATGGTTTTATCTACACATTACTTCAGGTGCTAACAAAATTTACTCAAAAATCATACCCATATATCCAGGAGTACCTGATGTATCTTAAGCGTTATCAGGCCTTTAAATTCTAGCTATTCCAAGATCAGTTATTCTAATATAACCTAAAATATATTTTTCGATATATTACCATTTTTATCAAGTACTAAATTTTCTGGTTTGATATCTCTATGAAGACTATTTTTAGAATGCATATATTCTAATCCTAAAAATATGCAAGCCATAAAAAATCCTATGTTTTTAATAAATTGATACTTGTTTGATCTTCTGAGAATCTTCTCATTTTTCCAATATGATATCTTAGATCTCCTCCTTACATATAATCTAAAACCAAGAAAAGATTTTCACGGTCTTAAAATGCATAATATATGTTAACTAAAAATCTATATTTGATTAAATAATTACGGATGCTTTAGATTACTCAATATATTTCTTTCATTCATAACAGAATTAACACTTTTTTTTGCAATAATTCTAAAATACAAATAGATAATATACAAAGCTTTGGACATTTCTTTCATTGCATATATCTAACCATTTTTCTTATATTCCACCTTCCAAACTTTTCCAAATCCACCAATACCAATTACAAATTAAAAATTAAACATATTCTTTTAAACTATAGTTTCATTATTATCTAAATATAAAAAATAATTCTTAACTTTCTTTTTCTTCATCTTATATAATTTATGATTTATCTTTAAGAATCAAGTAGTTAAGAAAACCTATTTATTTTGGTTACTATTATTTTGAAATCGAAGACTTCTTTGAATGATTTGCTGATGATTATTAGCTAGAAGGTACTGCAAATTTTTGTAAACCGTGTACCATAGGAGCAGGTGATCTATCACAATTTTATTCATTTTAGCGGCTTTTGATTTACATAACTTCTTACTTATTTAACACATTAATCACTTATTACCCTTAAGGTAATTATGATCTAACTATGTTCATTTATCCAGAATCCTGTCTTGAATGAGGAAATCGGTAATTTAAACTTTTCATAACAGTAATAATATAATATAAATTTATTAGAATAATAAATTATAAATAACTTATATAAAAAACTCAACAAAATAGAAAGCCAAACTTAATCATTAATTAACTTTTTGATCCATTCATTCATTTCTTTAAAGTTTTAATAGAAAATGAAATATCTTATAATTAACTTTATTCACAATATTAAATATTTTAAGCTTGATTTTTTTAATACAAATAATTAAATAAATCATAATGATTAATATATTGCTTCAAATATAAGGTAAATGTTGAATAAAATTAATAAACATATGTCAAAAGATGAGTCTAAACTTTTATTTACTTATTTAATTATATCATTTTTAAATTAAATAAAATGGCTACCTATTTTTTCAAATACTCAAGGGGAATTTGTATAATTTATTGATTTATAATTATCATTATATTTAAATTATTTTATGTGTAGTTTATAAAATTTGAAACATTTAACAATATATATTATGTTCCTCTTATTAATTAAAAAAGATAAATCTAAATTTTAAAATCTATAAAATAAGAATTTATTTAAATTTAAGAATTGAACTTAATAGTTTACATTAATTTTAGTCTTTATTCTCATAAATTAACAATTATCTATAAAAACCATTAAAATTCAAGTTCAAGAAATTATCAAAAAAAAAAAAAAATATGATTCTTAAAAGAATTGATTATTTAATCATTAAGTAAAACTAAAATTTGAATTAAGATCTTCTTATTTTCTATTTTTTAATGTTTTTAATTATATTAGGCATTATGTATTTTATTTAATAATCAATGCATCCTCAACTGTATTTGTCAAAATGTCCTCTGTAGTTAAAGAAATCAAATTATAAGGCTTCTTTTTATTTATCAGTTGAAAGCTAGTTTGATTGATTATTTTAATTACAGATAAGAAATCTTAATATTTTTCTTAATCCATTTAACAATCAACAAATTACTGTGCCTCTTTTTTACAATTAAAGATATTGCCATCAGCCTTAAAAACACATTCCCTTACATCATTAAATGGTGCCAAGCATAGAGGATGCATCCTTTCGCTAACCTTATTTTACCAATTATTACGCCTCTTTATAACATCCAACCAATTCTCTTGCTTTATCTCTACATAACCTTGGATCTTTAGGAATAGGTGATGTAGTTTGTCTGCAATCTTCATATTTATGAACTTCTGATCTGCACTTATGGAAAGCAAACTATGAGTGAATCAAAACCTCGAATGACTTTGTATTCATTTTTTACAATAAAAATAAATATTAGATTTTTAATATATTGAATAATCATAGCTAATCATTTATAAATTTATTGAAACAAAAGGATTATATATATAAATTAATTAATAGCCATATTTTAAAAACAATACTCATTTAAGATATTATAATCTGTAGTATTAAATCTATTTATTTAGTACAATAATTCTAATTATAATTAAGTTAATTAATGAACATTTTGAATTAAAGGGATATTATATTTGAATTATTGTGAACTTGATAACTAAAAATGATAGAATAAAATAGAATATATATGATTAATTTTAATAAAATATAATTTTATGAATAAGAAATCACTTTTTCATTTTAGGTCTTATATTTTATGTTCAAGCTTATCTATATAAACTACCTACTCCTATATTTTCTAAGAATAGCTTTATAATTAATCTTATTTATGTTTCAGATTCATTTCAAGATCTTTAATTTTTTTGAGATAATCATCACTCATTTAAGCTTTAGATCTCAACTCCTTTATTTATAAATACATTTCATCTTGATGATTTGATAATTCAGTCATCTATTCTAAATATTTCTTTTCTAATCTTTCTTTATAAATTCTAATTTAAGTCTCCTTTTCTTAATACTTTTTTATTTCTTAATATAAGTTTTTAATCTCAACTTTTTAATTATCCAATTCTTTTTAAAGCTACATAATTTTTGCTTTTTAAGTAGCAACATAATCATTTGAATTTCCATTTTCAAGTAATCCAATTTACTAACTCAGTTTTTATAATGTATCATTTTAATTTTAATTTTTTTTTTCTAATTCAGTTTTTTATTTTAATATTTCTTCGGCTTCCATAATTTTCTTACTATCCAATTCTCTCTATATTTTAAGTAAATTGATCTTATCTTCTTATTCGTTATTTTTTTTTTGAAGATTAACTTATATTAATTTCAATTCTTAAATCTAATTGTCAAATAAAGTTTTTTAATGATTAGCTTTTTCGTTTTACAATTTAAGTTCTTCCAATAAACTTTTAAACGATAAATTTTATTAAAGTAATTCTAAATTTTCTTGTTTTATTGTATTTATTTGCTTTATTAATTATTATTCTTTCTGTTTTTATTCTTAAATAGGATTTTCTGAAATTTATGAAGAATAAACAATTTAATTAATTTTCTTAAGTTCTTCTATTTATTATTGATAATTCTTTTCGTTAATCTCTAATTATTGAATTTTCTGATTTTATTATTCTATTTTTTCTGAAAGTTAAGTAATTTTGGATTCTTTTTATTCAACTTAAGTATTTTAACCTTAGATTGTTGATTATATAGAGTCAAGTTCAAATTATTCTTTTTGATTTTATAAAGATTTAATACGATTTATATATTCTTATTTCTTAGCTTCATTATCTACATTTCCTTATTTTAAAATTTGATGTTCTTTTTTAAGTTTTTCAAAATCATTTTTTAGAATTGTTAAATTTGATTCTAATTAATTTATGATTTTTTCTTAATCTTATTTTTATAAATTTAATTAATCATTAAGATTTATTAAGTTTTCATGATTTTTTGCTAATAATTAATGTTATTATTTTGAATTATCTAATTCTTATTATAATTATGTTTACTATTTATTAAAATTATTTCTTTCTATTTCTAATTTTTATTATAATTGTTAAACCAAAAGTTATTCGTACTATTATTAATCATTACTATTTTTAATAGATAATTGTTTTTTTAAATCATCATTTTAAATTTACAATTACTATTTTTCTTCTTATAATTTAGTAATATTTTGTTATTGAGTTTTGATATTTATATTATCAATAATCTTTTCTTATTCTACATTTTAAGTCTTTTTTATAGATTAGTTATCAATACTAATATTCTCTATTTTGGTTGATTATTCAGATTCAACTTTTGAATTACTTATTACTAAACATTCTTACTTTGATTTTTCAAGTTGCTCAATTTATTTTTTTTATTTTTATATGGTCATTTTCTATTTACTAATTTACTCTTCTAATTATTTACATTTTTCTATATCCTAAATCTCATTTTTATTTTCTTTTTATAGTTTTAATTCTTCAACAACCTAAATTTATTATTATAATTTTTGGTTAATTTGAAGATTCTCTTTATTATAGCTTTCGATTATATTGATTATATCAATTAACTAATTAGAATATTATTCTTGTATTTATATGTCTTTAATTTCTATTTCTGAATTAGCTTTTTATAACAAGCTTTCGTATTTTCTTAATTTTACTTTACATTCTTTTAAAGTTGACTCTCCATCCAAATTTTTGCTATCAGCCATTTTTTCTAATTACGATTTAAATTTATCCTTTTCTTCTAAAGTTAATTACAACTTTTTTTATAATTCCTAAACTTAATTTGTAATCACTATATTAGTCTTTGCAAAATTTTCAATTTAAATTCTTAATTGATCTATTTGTTTATCATATGTTTCCCTTAAAATATCATGTTACTTTTTCGCTGATTGTAAATCTAATTTAATCTATATATTTGCTAGATATTACCTCTTGTTAATTATATGTTTTTTTCTCTTAAATTTAATTCATCTTGATTTGTTAAACTAGCTCCACTCTCATTTTAATTAGGTTTTATTGACATCCTATTCTAAGTATAAGGATAAATATTTTACAAATCCAGTATTTTCTTTTGCAGCTCTCAATTCCAATTCAATTGATGCCTTTTCCTATTATAAAATTGAATTTTCTAAGTATGTAAAGTTGATATAGATACATTATTTTTCAAATTATACAGCTTTCTCTAATTTAGAGATTTGTAATGAAACTTTTTTATCTACAGACTTCATTCCATTTATCTCATATTCAAGTTCTTTTATTTTCTATTCAAGTTCAATTTTTAAATTTTATAAATCTACTATTTTTTATTCTTATTCAATAATAATTTAAGAATTTGCTATTGAATTTTTTGCTTATTCAATTTCATCCTATTATTGAAATCATAATTTTACTTATGATTATGAGATATTTTACTTAAATTATTCTTATGATGTTCTTAATTGTTAAAATTATATTTCTAAATCTCTATATTGCAGAGTTTTATTTTAAAGATACTCTATAATAATGTGAATTACTTACTTAATATTGGAATAATTTGTTTATTTAATTCTTATTGTTTTTTGATTGCTTATTGTAAGATTATCATTTCTAAAATTTTTCTATATAGAATTACAGTTTTATCCTTAAAATTCTTTTTGATTCATTATCTCATCTAGTTATAGTGTTGATTTCTAGTTTTCCTCCTGAAATTTTGTGACAAAAATATGAATATCATCGTCATTAAAATCTTCCATAACAAAAAATAAAATTTAATACTTTTTTACTAAAATAAATTTACTCATAAAACAATAAGGTCAAAAAAATTAATCATATATTTAATATCAATAATTTAAATCTATGATCTATATTTTTTAATGCACCTAGCAATTATAATAAAAATAATAGAAAAATAATAATAGAATTAGAAAAGAAAAATATAGCCCTGTCCTCAAATTAAAGCATAATTTAATCATCAACAATGAAAAACAAGCATTAGGATTAACAATTAAAATAATCTACAATTCACAAAAAAATCAACAAAAATGTTGGAAAACCAATTGGATTGTTGAGAATTAATTTAGATCCTCCAGATATTTGGTCTATTAAAAAATAAGAAGCTCAATTAATTTCCTTTTTGGTCAAATATGGAAGACATGTTTGTTTACACCAAGCAGTTTTAAATAAGGATTTAAATAAGAATTAAGTAAATTCAATTGAAAAAGAGTAAAAAGTTCAAACCTTATTGGATTAAAAAGAATTATATGATAAAATAGAAATAGCCGCTAAATATTTATTTGAATGGAATTGTTCTAAAAGGAATGTTGTATATTTTTTTAGGAATAATACCCAATTCAAATTAGATTATAAAAAATTAACTCTCAAAAATCAATAATGGACTACTTTGTTAAAAAATATTAAATTTTTATTCAATTAAAACTTTTATGAAGAATTGCACATTATAATGGAATAATTTGAAAACAATATTTCAAATTAAAAAATTGGGGATTATTTGATTTCTAAGTCTATAACTGGATAATTATCTGAAGTTCCATAATTGGTTTAAAACTTCTTTATTTTATTGATTAAGAAAAATATAGTATCAATTCAATGTTTTTAAGTAACTGTAAATTTTTTAGAATAATTGAAAAAATTATTCTTAATTTCCATATAAAAATACAGATTTATGCTTTATTAAATGATTGGAAGTATTAGAAATATCATGTAAATTAATATAGAATCTGAATAATATTCTGCTGAAACTAGCTAAGCAGATTAGGATTGTGATCCTGAAATATTTTTTAATTCAACATCCTATTGAATTTTAAAAACTTTGATAAAAAGATAATTATATTTATTTAATTTGGTTCAAATATGTATCTAATATATTTTAATAATATTCATAAATTTATATATTATTTGAGTTATTATTTGAGAAGATAATTTTTATAATAATTAATATAGAAAAAATATTGTTTAATAAAATTCATTCTCTTTTCCCTAAAGAATTTTATTATTTTAAAATATATATCTTTGCAATTAAGTAATTTTTATGATAATTATCAATTATTTTTATTGATTTACTATATTTAGTATAAGAAAGAAATAAATTTATTTACTAGATCTATTTAATCATGTAAAGTAAACGAATTTCTTATTGTTACTTTATATAAAATCTATTGTATAATATTTGTATATTAGTAAAAATGAAATATAATTAACAATTACATTATAAAATTTATAAAAAATGCACAATAAATGGTTAAAATATTAAACTAATTTTTAAATGAAAAAAATTCTGCTCATTTTTTGTTAATGAAAAGAACAGGAGCTAAATAATATTGAAATGATAAGAAATGAATAATATAATTAAATTAGATAATCTAATAAGATATAAAATATATTCATAAAATATTGATTCAAATGTTTCAAACTTTAAAATGCAATAAATAAGTTTATATTATTTTTAATATTAATAATTTGAATGGGTAACAGCACATCTTAAAATGAATTTAATGCTTAACATTATTAACACAATTCAGGTTTATCTATAAAAGAAGTTGAAGGAATAAAAAATGTTTTTGATTCTTTAGATCCAAAAGTATTTATCGAAAAATTCAAAATGTTAGGATGGCTAAATATAGACAGGAACACTTCGAAAACTTTACAGAGACTCATATGATGCACCATAGTTAAATAATAAGATTGGGGATAGAGAAACATTAACATTTGATTAATTTTTTGAGTTAATGAAAACTGATATGTTAGAGAAAAAACGACAATTTCCAGGAGTAGATTTTGATGATGGTATAAATGAAAATGTTTAATGTTTCTTTTGCCATCCTCAAAGACAACAGAGTTGAATTTATATATATACATTAAATTGAATTCTTTGTTTAAAAATACTAATTAAATAGCATATTAATAATTGTAATTGTTAATCCATCTCAATATTTCTATCATTTTATGTCAAGAATGTAATTCAGCTTTTCTATTTTATGGATAATTTTAGGAATATTATTTCAAAAAACTATATTTTAGTTTTTATCTTAATATGGATTAAATGATGATGTCTATCCAATATTTTAAGTAATATTTGAATTAGTCATAATGAAATAAATTTAAATAGGATATTTATTGTGTTGATATATTTATCATTATGTAATTTAAGCTCTTTTTATTTTTTTTTTGAGCATATCCTCAACTCTATTTGCAACCAATGGATGATATAACCATTTATCTTATGCAAACCAGGCTTCAGCTTAATTTCTTTAATAAATTTATTATTTACGGATAATTTGGAATTAATACTTCATATGTACCAACAACATAGGATCTCACTCCTAAACTTTATAAAAATGCATGAACAGCTTCAAGCCCAGCATCATATTTACAAAGAATGACAGTCTTATACCATTTAAAGGCTATTTTAGGACCTGATTTTGTTCCTGATAATTTATAATAATCATCTAATTCTTTTAATCTTTGATGAGTTAATTTTGTATAATTATCTAGAAATTATTGCATGAAGATCATTTTTTGATTTGGCATGTAATTAATGTAGTCATCTGCATTTTATGGTTAACCTTGAGTAATCCACTTATTTGCCAGAGCTACTGCTTCATCATACTTTGGAGTTTTGAAATCGATAGACTTTGGAGGCAATCCTAAATCATTAATAAAAATAATTACCTTCCTAATATACCCAGGGTTTGTAGATAGCAATAATATCATCAATTATTTTTTAAGTATTAACTTTTACATTTGATCTAACCCAATCTAATAAAAATTTATAGAAATCATCTTCGTCAATACTCTAAAATTTAAAATGCTCTAAATATTATCTTAACATAAATTTGAAGTTTTCTTCACCAATTAATTATTCTAAATAATATAATAATTGATATCCTCTTTCATAAGGTACTGAAGAAGTTGAATCATCAGGGTTCTTCCAACTAGTGATAGGATGTAATGTTTAATAAGATTTTTGATCTGGATCAGTGAAACCTTAGATAGCTGATATTAAATTAAAGTTTCCATTTATGGCTTCAATTATGTCATAATCTTAAGGTCTTACATATTTATATGTTTTCCTTTCTAAAAAGACACAAAATCCTTCCATAATCCACATATTAGACCAATTATTTCCTGTGACTGTATTTCCCATCCAAGAATGAGCTATTTCATGAACAGCAGTTCCAACTCCACTTTTATCTCCTACAATAATGACAGGACTTGCAAAAGTTAATAATGGATGTTCCATTCCACCAAATGGAAATGATTATGGTAATATTACTATTTTATAATCTCCCCAAATATAAGGACCTATGTATTCAGTCATTTTTTCAATAAAAAATGGTAATTCATCTAATTCTTTGGCATAGTCATCCAAATAAAAGGGTTCAGAAATTACATAACAATTAGCTCCTATATGTTTCTATTCAATTTCTCCTGCTACTATACCTATCAAATAAGCTGGGATTGGAATGTTTAATTAAAATGAATATGAATAAAATGTGGATTCTAATCCGTATTGTCCTATTAAAGGCAATGATGCAATTTATTCTCCTGTCATAAATGCTTTAATTAAAGGATTAGTGCTAATCACTGTTGATGTATAAGTAAATTTGACACTTGGAGTATCTTGTAAAGGAATTATTGAACGGCAATTGTTACTTTCACATTGAGTAAACATGTATGGTACTTTCTTGCTGTAAGTTTATTCTTTAGTAAGGAAACCAACAGCTCTAGCTCTTTCATCATATGCATATTTAATTCTTATTATTATGTTTTCTAAAGGGTTGTAATCTCTATCCAATATGATATGCAATCTATCACCTTGAATTAAAGATTATTCTTTGACGACTTGGATTTCATGTTTGAGAGGATTTCCATTAACTAAATATACATTTAAGATATCCAATTGATATACATCTAAATCAATCTAGATTCAATAGTAATATCATACATAATTGGTATGTTTAAGAAACTTGAATGAAATTTGTGCTGTGCCATTAACAATTTTTTTATCTAGATTTAATAACCACTCTACATGTAAGTGATTCATTCTAACATCCAAATAGTTACTGAATGTATTTGGATCAATATCTACTGTCAAACATTAATGCATCAAGAAAGCAAAAATTATAAGTTTAATCATTCTTATAGATAATAAAAAGTTTGTATTTAATTCTAAATGATATATAGTTAATTTTTTATCTGGTTGATTGAATGAGTAGAAATACTGTCGCTTTTCTAGTATTAAATAAAAAAAAAGTTAGAATTAAATGTCTTATTTATGATTGGTAGTTTTGCATAGTGAAATAAATTAATTTAATATGTTGCGTATATTAAGAAGAAGTATGAAAATTATAAAGCCTTAGGTTTGCATAAAATTGATATATTTGGATAAAACATTACATTAAATATGAATCAGGAAGCTTAGTACACAACAGAATTCGGAGGAATTTCATCTTTGTTTATTATTGTTGTAGTTATTTTATTCTTCTTTTCTAATATATTGGATTTTTTTGCTAAAACTTAAGTATTTACAGATGATGAAACCTTAATTTCAAATGATCCTTAAATGCTTGAACTTAATTCAGATAATTATATGTTAGCTGTCTCCATTGAATAAACAAATTATTCTTTGAATCCTTTCTTTAATATTTCAATTGAGTAAAGGTAACTGATTTACTTAATTAAGATAATATGATAGAGATATTAATGGAGTATTAAAAAAGACAATAACATATATTTAACTTTAAGAGTGTAGATTTGATTAATTTGATAAAGTATTTTCAAAACACGGAATTAATTTTACAGAATAATTCAATACTTTAGGATTAAAATATTGGTTATGCCCAAAGTAAAAATAAAATTATCTTAGAGATGATTTCAAAATTCTACTGAAAGGAACTTATTCAAGTGATCAATTCTAATTTATTAAACTTGTTGTTAAGGAATGTTAAAATTCAAATATACAAAATTAAACTTGGAACCCAATTTGTGCAAATGAAGAAGTTAAATAAAAATATTTAACTAAAGAAGGATAATTTAAATTATAATTATACTAGACTAATACAATAATTAATTAAAACAAACCTGAAAATTACTTAACTTAATTTCTTGATAGTGATATGTATTTTACTTTTGTTCCAAAAAAACTATCTAGATAGGCTAATATTTATTTTAGAGAATCTAAAATTATTAATGATAATAGTCTTTTACCTTATAAGTACTAACTATATTTATAATTAAGGGACTAAACAGAAACAGCAGTTATTGTGAGAAAAAATGAGGATTTTCGTGATTTGACAGAATTAGGAAGAGATACAGATGATTAATATGCAATAATTTATTTAAGAAGAAGTTAATTCACTTAAATAATATCTAGAAAGTTTTAAAAATTAGGTGAATTGTTGTCTTATCTTGGAGGTGTAGTATAAATAATGAGATTGTTATTTGGGATATTCATAGTGTTTTGCAATAGATAATTAAGTAGAGTATTTCTTATCATTTAGTGTTAATTGAATTGTCTAATAAATTGTATGATTTTAAAGAAATCAAATTGAAAAGAGTTGAATAACCTTCTCCTCCATAAATGACAGGGAGTATGCCATAAGATACTGTTAGATCTAAATATATTGAAGATTAATTGAATTCTCCAGAACCAGATGCTATATTAGATATGAAAAATGATACATTCTTATCTCCTAGTACAACAAATATCAAAAGTGCNCACAACAGAATTCGGAGGAATTTCATCTTTGTTTATTATTGTTGTAGTTATTTTATTCTTCTTTTCTAATATATTGGATTTTTTTGCTAAAACTTAAGTATTTACAGATGATGAAACCTTAATTTCAAATGATCCTTAAATGCTTGAACTTAATTCAGATAATTATATGTTAGCTGTCTCCATTGAATAAACAAATTATTCTTTGAATCCTTTCTTTAATATTTCAATTGAGTAAAGGTAACTGATTTACTTAATTAAGATAATATGATAGAGATATTAATGGAGTATTAAAAAAGACAATAACATATATTTAACTTTAAGAGTGTAGATTTGATTAATTTGATAAAGTATTTTCAAAACACGGAATTAATTTTACAGAATAATTCAATACTTTAGGATTAAAATATTGGTTATGCCCAAAGTAAAAATAAAATTATCTTAGAGATGATTTCAAAATTCTACTGAAAGGAACTTATTCAAGTGATCAATTCTAATTTATTAAACTTGTTGTTAAGGAATGTTAAAATTCAAATATACAAAATTAAACTTGGAACCCAATTTGTGCAAATGAAGAAGTTAAATAAAAATATTTAACTAAAGAAGGATAATTTAAATTATAATTATACTAGACTAATACAATAATTAATTAAAACAAACCTGAAAATTACTTAACTTAATTTCTTGATAGTGATATGTATTTTACTTTTGTTCCAAAAAAACTATCTAGATAGGCTAATATTTATTTTAGAGAATCTAAAATTATTAATGATAATAGTCTTTTACCTTATAAGTACTAACTATATTTATAATTAAGGGACTAAACAGAAACAGCAGTTATTGTGAGAAAAAATGAGGATTTTCGTGATTTGACAGAATTAGGAAGAGATACAGATGATTAATATGCAATAATTTATTTAAGAAGAAGTTAATTCACTTAAATAATATCTAGAAAGTTTTAAAAATTAGGTGAATTGTTGTCTTATCTTGGAGGTGTAGTATAAATAATGAGATTGTTATTTGGGATATTCATAGTGTTTTGCAATAGATAATTAAGTAGAGTATTTCTTATCATTTAGTGTTAATTGAATTGTCTAATAAATTGTATGATTTTAAAGAAATCAAATTGAAAAGAGTTGAATAACCTTCTCCTCCATAAATGACAGGGAGTATGCCATAAGATACTGTTAGATCTAAATATATTGAAGATTAATTGAATTCTCCAGAACCAGATGCTATATTAGATATGAAAAATGATACATTCTTATCTCCTAGTACAACAAATATCAAAAGTGCTATCGATAAAATATTATATGAATCGAATCCTATCAGATTTTCGTTTAAATTATTTCTAAACAAACTTACATGCGGTTTCATGTTTAAAGATAGAAATGCAATACTTCTAGAAAAAGCTATTAATAGAATGAATTAAGATTTAGATCTACATAGTATTTTATATAGAATTCAAGAAATAAGTAAAATTAAGAAATTACTATTCAATGAATAATAAATGATCTTATTTAATTTTACACCAAAACCATAGATATCTGTCCAAAGCAATAGTAGAGTACCTTCTCGTTTATTGATACATGATTCAAAAATAAGTAGATTAAAAAGATAAAATAATTTAGAGATTAAAGAACAAGATTAAATTTCATGTATGCTTATGAATGTAATATATATTTTAATTAAATAGGCTTATGCTTTAGTTAAAGATGATATTCCAGCAGAATTTTAGAGTGATTGCTCTTTAAAAATCAATCAAAAATTAATAGAATTGATGATTCAAGAAACTTAGAATGCAGATAATTCTTTTAAACATTAATTATAGTCACCTAAAAAACCTTTCATTTCCTTTAAGTTTTAGATTAATGATTAATAGAATGATTAAGAATAGATTAATGAAAATAATAATGAAAACCCAATCATTAATGAATAACAATGAAAATCATTTAATTTAATATAAAAACTTAGAAATCATAATATTTTTATCATCTAAATATTTTTAATAATTTAATTAATTTATATTCAATGAGAAAGTAGATCTATACTTAAGCATATTTCTTAATCCAAAACAACCACAATTACAGTCATTCATTTGGAGTAAGAATGAAGTACGTTGGATTAAATACATTGATTGGAGTCTATGCAGCAGCTAGATATTATTTCAATGCATTAAGATTGAAAGTAATTATCTTTATTAATGCAATAAGTCAGCTAATGGAGAAACTACTTTCGATTGATTGGTTGATAAAATATGAAATATTATAATAAATATCATAAGACATCATTACAAATCTATACTATTATTATATCCTAATAAGGAATTTGTAATTAATATTTCCATCTTATTTTATTGATATCCAATTCTAAGAATATATATATTTAAGTTAATTACTCAAAATTAATAATTCAATTATTATTCATAATTATTATTGTACATTTAGACATTTTGCATATCTTTATTATTCAGTCCCTTTCCTTAAAGTATTTTAGATTCTTCTGGAGCAGAAGTGAATTAAATTCTTTTATAAACATCACTAAAATTGGGACTGAATTATTTATTTAGTAATCCAATTGCTGTATCATCATTATCATCTACTTGAATTTCTGCTTCTATTTTATCTAACTGTTATTAATCACTTCCAATTAAACAAGAATTTTCTACAAAAGAATTTTATTCTGTCTTTTGAGTATGATTTACATAATTTCTATTTAAAACATTAAAAAGTTGATATCTTTTTTAACAATACTAATTTTATTGTTAAATTTCCAATTAATTTTATATCTAAAAATATATTAATATAAAATACTCTCTCTAGATTCAAAGTTACTGGAAGTAAATTTTTTCTGATGATTTCATTGCATACTCTATTCCAAGAGGCAAGAATTGCTTCTTCTTCTTAATTTTTATATCGAAAAGTCTTATATCCTTACACTTAATTCAAGATTTAATCAATATCCTCAAAATTCACTAAAGTTTGATTTATTAAAGTGCTATTTGGACGATCATATGAATCTGATGATTATAATTCTTCCTTTATACCTTGAGTGTTTGGAGTTCTCATTTATATTTTATTACCTTCACTAATTGTAAAGTTTTTTCGATCAGATCTATAATTCATATTTTGATGTTCACTCTCTCCAAAATTAGGAACAGATTATATTGTATCAAGACATTCACTTGATTCTAATAATGATTTATCTGGAGTATAATAATCATTTGATTATTCCTCTATGATATCTAGAAAATATTTTAGATTTTTTGGTATTCTAGATCTTTTTCTTCTTTTAACCTTCTTTTTCTAAACTGAATTACTTTACTTTTTTTCACTCTCTTATGTTTTTTAACAAGGTTCACAAAATTCTTGATATGATTTTTTATCACTCTATTAATTAATGGTTCCACTATTATTAATACTTAAATTATCTTTTTCTAGTTTCTTACTAATATTTAAATTAGGTGTTTAATTTTCAATAGATTATTAATCTTAATATTCATCATCAGAATTTTGAGAAAAGTTGAACTATTTCTAAACAATATCATAGAAATTTTAACTAATTTGATTGTAATTTGGATTATTTTTAAAACTATCATAATCTACATGAAAATTATCATCAAATTCATCTATTTCATGTTATTTACTTTTTTTACTAAAAACAGATTCTCTATTACTATAATTATTTGAATTTCGATTACTGGAATATAGTTATTATTAATTATTAGTATCATCTTTATTTGATGACTATTGTTAATTTAAATTTTATTAAATATTCAAATTAAATTATTACTAACTAATTCTTGGATTTTAAATTTAATTGGATGATTTTGAATTACTAATCTATTTTGTATTATTTTTAATATGTTCTTCTGAATTTCTCGACGATTTTTATTAATTTTTTTATATAGATGAATTAGTATTATAATTAGAATTATAATTAGTATTGTTTGAATTATAATTGAATGTATTAGTCTAATTATTTGCTTTAGGTAATTACTATTAATATTTTATAGGTTAATTTTCACTATTAGATTTTTAATTTTATTTATTAACATAATTATAAGATTAAAGTTATTTTTAACTATTTTATTTATTAAATAATTTGAATCCATCCTTTAGATTATCAGCTTTAGAATCTCTTGGTTGTTAATTAATTTTTTATTCACTTAACTATCTTTTTTATTTTTAATCACTAGGAATAAATTAAGCACTTCCATTTGTATTTGAACTATTTTCAGTAAATTTAATGATATCATTTGCCATTTTCATAATATCATCAGCAACATTTGCTTATAAATCTTACAAAATTTCTTGTATTTTACTTGGTCCTCTTGTATGAGTAGGTTTACGATCATCAACAGTATATTCTGTTTCATCAGTAAGAGTAAATAATCTTCCTCCAAATCCTTTATTTTAATTTTAAAAATGTTGAGTAAATGTTTATAAAGGTGATCTTAAATATTGAGATTGCTAAGATTTTTGAGTACTTTATTAAGAGAGACAAGCTTCTTAACAAGGAACAGGAATATAATCAGATTCATAATCATTTTCTTCATCTTCAACTTCTTATAATTACATACTGGTTCTAAGGATTTCAAATACTGAATATTATTGACAATAATTTACCTTTATGTTTCTTATCCATTTCCTATTCAGATTATTCTTCTATTACATTTGTTTAAATTAATACCTTCTTCATTATTAATAAATGATAGAACTTTAACTAACATATTGCAATTTTATGGAATCATTTGCATGGTTTTTTGGTTCAACATTTCTACTTCCAAAGTATCCGTTAATAATAAATATATTAATTTATTTTTAATAAATTTGTATGTAAGTTTTAAATTAGATAATAAAATTATGTAAAAGACTTAAAACAAATATTCTATAAATAATTAATTTATTATTCAAAAATAAATGTTTCTATATTAATAAATTACTAATAATATTATATAATCTGATATCTGAAAAGAATAATTGATATACATAGTATAAAAAATAGATGATTTTGCATTTAATTAACTATTATTATAATTTAGAGATATTTATTATTGTATGAATTAAGGCATATTCACTTTATTGTTTCCATCTAAACCTAAACAAACATCTGAAAATTGTTCTGTACCAATCTATGTAGATACTAGCTTTACTAGTAAAATAAAAATTGAAATCAAATAAAATATGTTAATTAGTGATATTTTTAAATTCATTCATGAAGATGATGATAAATAAAATTTATATCTTGTTTTGATCCATTATTCTGTATAAAGAAGACTGTAGGATTATGAAAAAGTAGAAGATGTTTTACATAATAATAATAGCAAATTTGTTATATATGATTTTTAGAAAAAATAACAGATATAAGGGTAAAAGTATCCTAAATATTTTGGTATTTATATTATATTAATAAAGATGATAATTTTAAAGCCTATGGTATTTAGAGAAAATTAAATTGAGCTGTTTAGATAAAGTTAGACTCTATAATTGGTAGAATAATACCAAATTTGATTTCTAAATTGAAAACGAAAGTAAATTATACTTTTTCTAAGCACTAAAAGAAACTGATTTTGATTATTGGTTAAGAACTATTTAGGAGTCACTGAATGCAGCTACATATAAATCTTTGCTTTATGAAATGGATATCAAAGTGTAAATAGCAACAAGAACTTAAATTAATAGTATTGAAGAATTCGCTTAAGATTCATTTCAATAAATTTAAATTAATGGAGGATATTTAAAATAACTAAAAATCTTAAATTACTGATATTTGTGATGTTAACATCTTGGAATTTCTTTTGACAAAAAATAAAGATTTTATAAGAGAAATTCGCAAATAAATTGAAAAAGATACTTATTGTTTAGTAAAACCTCTAGAATCTCAATCTTAAGTAGAACCTTTAAGAATTTTTACATAAAGATATCATTCATTAATTAAGAAAGATTGCGATTTAGATTAAATAATTGAAGATTTAAATGATGAGATTACTTCGGCTTATTTGGGTTTTTTAAAAATCTAAAAGATAAGAACTAAAATAATTCAATAAGCTAGAGTTTAATTTAAAGAATAATTTTCATAATTCAATCCCTCTTTTGATTAATTTTATAATTGATTTTTTAATTAACAAAGTAATTTATTTGTCAAACAATTTTTACATCTGTTATTGTTTACTAATAATTTTATGTTTAAATGCCATTTTATCATAATTTATTGCTAAATTCAATTTATGTCTGGGTGATTTTCAAATATATTAATTAATCTTTTGATTTTTTTATAAGTTGATTAATCAAATCATAATATGCTTGTGAGCATATACCAACTATCTCACATTTTAATTATTATATTATCATTTTCTTTATAAATAACAAATTAGTGAAACTTTTCTAAATCATTCAAAGCTTGGTTTAAATAATTTTCAAAAATTAAAATATATATTTTTTTGAATTAGTCCAAATGAATTGAATATTTTATTAATTTTTATTAATAAGTTAGAAAATAATGTAGTATCATTACCCTTAAGCTAATTATTTCCCTTAACAAAACTATGTATCTCCAATGTAAATGGATGTAATTTTATTAAATACATTTAGGCTGGTTTCAATTCTGGCTTGGATGCATTATCAAGGTGCCCAAGTGTCTTTATAAAATAACGTCCTGATTATTTAGAAACATTAGGATTGTGTGAAAAAAAAAATGCTTATTTTGTGTATTAATCTGATTCAATGGGAAATAAACCAGATTTTAAACAACAGGCTCCCATTTTCAAATGTAAGGAAGAGAGCAGTTGTTGGTAAAGGAATTGTCTTCCTGGAGCATGTAGAGGATTTGATTTAAAAGTTAAATAATATAATGAAAGATAAGATACCAATACAGTATTTAGGATGAGTAGGGAATATAAATGTACATTTCTTTGTTTTGGGAGGTAAATGATTAAAATATTATAATTGATTAGACCTGTGATGGAAGTTTAATTGGAGAATGGTGGAAAGATAGGATCCATTTATTATCCATTTATGTGTTGTGATAAAGGTGTTGATATTTTAGATGAAAATGATCAAATAGTTTATTAAATAAGAGGAAGTTGTTGTTAATGGCCATTTTTAGTAAATCTACCTTGTGAAACATGTTAAAGAGCTAGATTTGATATTATAGACTCTTAAGGATAAGTAAGTATATGTGAATATGATTTAGAAAATTTCTGAACTTTGGAAAGAATCTGCAGGATTTTGTAATGCATTATGTGATGTTGATGCTACTAATTTTAGACTTTTATTTCCACCTTAATCTTCAAGCAGATAAAAAGCATTGTTATTGTCTGCTGCTTTATTTATTGATTTTAATTATTTTGAAGAGTCTCCTTAGGATAAACAAAATAATTAATTTTGATCAACATATGCATGATTATTTATGATAAATAAAATAATTATCCTTTTTTAATGATTATCATTATTTAATTAATTATTCAGATAAATCCTTAATTTTATCAACACACTTGGTAATTTCTATTTCAAAATGTAGAATTTTGTAGATTACATAAATAATTTAAGGATTCTTTGTATTAAGTAACTTATTTTAAATTAAATCATCTATTTCTTCTTAATCTTTATCATTCAATTCTTCTTAAGACTAATAATTAATTATTTTTAATTTACATTTAATTTTGTCCTTAAGAAATTGATAACTTCTTCAAATAATCTTTAACCTAAATCTTAAATGCATTCTTTTCGTTTGATTTATAAAAATTACTCTAACTCCATTTTTCTNTATCATTACCCTTAAGCTAATTATTTCCCTTAACAAAACTATGTATCTCCAATGTAAATGGATGTAATTTTATTAAATACATTTAGGCTGGTTTCAATTCTGGCTTGGATGCATTATCAAGGTGCCCAAGTGTCTTTATAAAATAACGTCCTGATTATTTAGAAACATTAGGATTGTGTGAAAAAAAAAATGCTTATTTTGTGTATTAATCTGATTCAATGGGAAATAAACCAGATTTTAAACAACAGGCTCCCATTTTCAAATGTAAGGAAGAGAGCAGTTGTTGGTAAAGGAATTGTCTTCCTGGAGCATGTAGAGGATTTGATTTAAAAGTTAAATAATATAATGAAAGATAAGATACCAATACAGTATTTAGGATGAGTAGGGAATATAAATGTACATTTCTTTGTTTTGGGAGGTAAATGATTAAAATATTATAATTGATTAGACCTGTGATGGAAGTTTAATTGGAGAATGGTGGAAAGATAGGATCCATTTATTATCCATTTATGTGTTGTGATAAAGGTGTTGATATTTTAGATGAAAATGATCAAATAGTTTATTAAATAAGAGGAAGTTGTTGTTAATGGCCATTTTTAGTAAATCTACCTTGTGAAACATGTTAAAGAGCTAGATTTGATATTATAGACTCTTAAGGATAAGTAAGTATATGTGAATATGATTTAGAAAATTTCTGAACTTTGGAAAGAATCTGCAGGATTTTGTAATGCATTATGTGATGTTGATGCTACTAATTTTAGACTTTTATTTCCACCTTAATCTTCAAGCAGATAAAAAGCATTGTTATTGTCTGCTGCTTTATTTATTGATTTTAATTATTTTGAAGAGTCTCCTTAGGATAAACAAAATAATTAATTTTGATCAACATATGCATGATTATTTATGATAAATAAAATAATTATCCTTTTTTAATGATTATCATTATTTAATTAATTATTCAGATAAATCCTTAATTTTATCAACACACTTGGTAATTTCTATTTCAAAATGTAGAATTTTGTAGATTACATAAATAATTTAAGGATTCTTTGTATTAAGTAACTTATTTTAAATTAAATCATCTATTTCTTCTTAATCTTTATCATTCAATTCTTCTTAAGACTAATAATTAATTATTTTTAATTTACATTTAATTTTGTCCTTAAGAAATTGATAACTTCTTCAAATAATCTTTAACCTAAATCTTAAATGCATTCTTTTCGTTTGATTTATAAAAATTACTCTAACTCCATTTTTCTTTATTCTGCTTCCAATAATTACTTATTCAGATCCATTTTCTTATTATCTACGCATAATTCAATAAATTGACGGCATTAATTTGTATCTTCTAAAGCCTCTTCTTATATTGTATGGATATTTCTATTTTAAATTGGCAATTCATCTCCATAATCAGCAGTATCATCCTTTCCTTCTTCATCATTTTAATTTTCACAATCCTCAGGGTCTGTATAAGCCTATAAATTTAAATAATCATAATTACTCCTTTATCTGAATCTTATTAATATTTATTATCATTTTCATTATCCTATTTATCAACTGAATTTGAATTAGATTTAAATTGTACTTAAACATAATGATTAGTTTCCAAATCACTTTGATATTCAACATTAGTTGTAGGAATCTCATCAGCAAATGAAGTTTTATCTATAATTTCTCTTTTTGGTTAAATCACTTTTATGTTACTTTCTTCTTTAGCAACAAAATCAGGTAAATTCAATACCATATCAACTTCTTCTTATGAACACGTCTATTATTTTGTGCTTTTATTATTAGTTTATTTAGGTGTTTCTTTTATTAAATCAATCTTATCAGCCTTCCTTAAAGGTTCTTTAACTTACCTTGCAGGTTCTTTTGGGGCTCCTTTTCTAATTCTCTTTTTATCAATTTCTTCTATATTAGGATTTGAAACCTTTGCTTTTACTTATAAAACTGGTTTTTTTGTAGGTTATACTTGTTAATTTGAGAAAATGTTTTATTACTAATTAGGTTGACTATTATTTGATTAAGATGAAATTATAGGAATTTTATTAGGTTGAAATTCAGCATTTAATAATTCAGGTCGAGAAACTATTATCCGATCATCTTATTTTTATTTTTGCAATTCAGAAACCTTATCTCTCCAATCTTTATAAAAATCATCGATTTTTTAATTTTGAACTTGATTAGGAGCAGATGGAGGTGGTACTTATACTATTTTCTTTTAAACTATTGGAGTATCTCTAACAGGTTCCTGTTTACCTTTTACTTCTAATTACAAATTTTAGGATGATTAAATTTTAGCTTTTAATGGTTTTCCTTAAGGAGTACTTTTAATAGATACAGGAACAGGTGTAGCTAAAGGTTGTTGAATTTCTTTAGGTTTGCTAATAATAGGAATTTAATTGGGTTAAATTTATGAGACCTATTTTGAATTAGGATGAGGTTAATTTAAATTTAATTGCATTCTCAAGTTTTATGCTTATTAAATCAGACCTGTCTAATGTGATATTTATAATTACTTGATTATTGTAATAATTAGAATGCATCAGGTCTTTACCTGTAATCTTTTTACAAACATTAATCAATCAATTATGCTAAAGCTGAAGAATACATTTATCCTATTGGTTCATACCTCCCTCTTATTATTTTGAGTACAAGTGCTCCTTGACTATTGGCTTCAAATGGATGTTTAAAAGTGCATAGTTCATATATCACACAACCTAAAGCCCAAATATCGCTTTTCTCATTGTAAGGTTTCTCCTCACACATTTCAGGTGATAAGTAATAAGGAGTTCCTACCATAGTTCTTGCAAAGTTGTTTTGATCATTTAATAGTTTTGCTACTCCAAGGTCTCCAATACGAACTTGATCTTTGGAAAGAAATATATTCATTGACTTAATATCTCGATGTAGAACTTTATTCTTATGAAGGAATGCCAATCCTAATGTTATTTGGATGAAAAATCTCCATACTTAATTTTCTGGCAACGGTCTTCCCATTTGCATTTTTAATAGTTTATGTAAATCTCCTCCTTCACAAAATTCCATTACTATACATAACAATTACTTATCTATAAAAGATTCATAATATTTGACAATATATGAACTGTCTAATTTAGCTAAGATACTTGCTTCATTTAAAGCTTCATTTTTCATTCTAGCATTCATTTTTGATATGTTGATTTATTTCATTACATAAGTTTACTTATCAGCTTTACGTCTTACTTTATATACTTATCCAAAACTACCCTCACCTAATTTATTCAAAATTTCAAATTCATTAAGTTTCGATTCCATTAATTTAATAATTTAACAAATAATACCTTGCCAAAATCAATTTCAAAGAGGATTCCTTTAAATAAATTTCATTATTTAATTATGTAAAATAAAGAACCCTAAAGCAAACTATATGTTATATATCATGACCCTTGTTTAGATGGAATTTACTCTTTAACAGGACTTGTATTACCTATTCTTGTTAAAATAAGAAAAGATAACTGGACCATCTAATAATATCTAGAATTACTTAAATCAGAACTCTCTAAAATATCAAAAGAAATCCAAAAACCCTAAGAATATAAGCAAGAAATCATTTATCAAGATGAACCAATAGAAAATCAAAATATGGGCTTTTTTTATCCAACTATTTAAGATCTATGTTATATGCCTATTAGATTAAGTGAAGATTCTAATGAAGTATAGAAAATAATAAAATTTTTAAATGATGATTCTAAATCATCAATTTTGATAATTGTTGACTATTTTGGAAGAACATGGGATAATTTGTTATTGTTAACAAAAAGATTTTAATATGTAATTGTAATTGATCATCATTAAACATGTGTTAATGCAATACCAGATTTTAAAATAGAAAAATATTAAGTCTTAAATAAAGTATCAGGAATTGACAATCTATTTATGTTAGTAAGTATAGATAAAGCAGCATGTCTATTAGTACAAGACTTTCATGAATAAATATTTTAAACTAAATATACATCATTACTACCTTCTAATATTGGTACCAAATTTACATTATTTACAAAATACATTTCAGATAATGATTTATTTGTGTTATAATATCCTGAAACTGAACCTCTTTAGATGGCAATTATGAGAAGAAGATTGTAATTTGATGTTAGATAAAATCCAGCAATATTTTATAAATTATTAGAATTCGATTTTGATTTCTTAGTTAAGGAAGGAAAATAATTAGCAGTCTAAAGAAATAAAAAAGTGGAAAATTTAGTTAAGAATCGTAAAACAGTAGTATTTGGTAAAGATGCAGTAGGTTATGCACTCTATTGTGATGATTTAAGCATAATGAATCCTTTAGGCAATGCATTAGGTATTTTAGCAATGAGATCAGGTGATCAAAATTTAGGTGCTGTTTATCATGATGATAAAAGTAATTCTACTTAATATAAAATTCATTTGAGATCAGCTCATCATGATCAAAATGGAGTTTTATTAAATAGATTTAGATGTGATGTTCTTGCAGAATCTTTTGGAGGAGGAGGTCATGTTGGTGCAGCATCTCTTTATATGAAGAAAAAAGAATGGAAAAAATTAATGTTTGAATGAAAATTTATATATCACATAATATTATTGTAGAAATTTTGTTGAATTATATAAGTAATTAATTATTAAAGACCATTTAATCACATTATTTAATGGTTATAGTTCTTTAACTATTCATTTGTCCTTAAACAAAGCTGTGATTATATTAGATAAGCATTCAAATTAGATTCATAAGTCAAAATAAAAATAACCAAAACATAAGGTTATCTAAAATTTTCCTTTAAAAGTTCTCTTGGTTTGGATTTTAGATATCTATACAACATGAATTAAATATAAAAATAAAAGATCCTCTCAGATTAAATTATATTCTAAAGGTTTTGAGAAATAGAATGAAATTTTTCAAATATTTGAATTAGACAATATCAAAAAAAAAATATATCAGAATTATTAAAAATGGTAAAATTTAGATAATGAGTAAATACATAGTGTTAATATTATAACAGATTAAAATTCATTTGGGATAAAAATTACTAATAAAATACTTTTTAAATATTTGTAATAATTAACTTATGAGTACTGATTTTTTTAAAGGATTCATTATAAAAATCGCTATAGAATGAATAAAATTAAGTGTATTGTAAATACAAAACTGTCTTTTTAGATATTTGTATAAGTTTCACCAAAAATAAGTTTTTATAAGGAATTCTTCTCCTAACAGATAATTTAGAGATCAATTAAAATTAAATAAGTGTCATATTTAAATAACTTAATTTAATAGATCAAAATTTTTTTGCTTCACTTCCATGAAAATATATCAATGGATAATTGATATTTGGAGGATAATAATAGTTCTAATAGTATTAAGCATAGATAAATGGTAATGGTTAGAAACTAGGGAGAATCGGAGATATATGATTCTGATGGTTTGATGTATTGGAGTTATCATTTATATGTTCAACTTTGATAGGACTGAAATTTGTTTCAATTTTTTCTATCTGATTTGCTAATTCATCAGGATCATAGGTATTATATTTTTAGATATACTTTAATATTTACTACTCTTATTTAGGATCACTTTTATCCTAAGATATATATTAAATATACTAAATGTATTTTTTTTGCAATTTTTTTGACAATAGAGTTATAACAATTTTTAATTTTATTATCAGTCCTTCCCGGCATTAATTTCGAGATACTAGACCAATTTTTCTTCAATTATTAAGCTTTAAGCATTAGAGTTTATTTCTCTTGATGAGTGAAAGGCTTTCTTTGAATATAAATTAGATTTACTTATTGATTTTTGGATTAATCACATTATTATACCTTTCACGTATCTACTTTTAATATCTTAAATTTGGTGCTAAATAAATAAACTCTTCTGCTATTATAGTCCAATCATTATTTGGATATTTACTTTATAGATATTTATAATTACTTTCTTAATTCAATCAATAATTTATCTTCCTCTTAAGTCCATGGTATGTCTCTCAAACTTTATTTTAATAGACTCATCCATTTTTTGATAAGAAATTATGTAGGAAGATCTAGAACAGTTGAAAAATATTAAAAGACTCCATTTCGATGCTAAAGTGCATACTTAGGCTTCATAAATACCAATTCATTGAATTTTATGTTTCTCTTCTCTGCTAATTTAACAATACACCATATAAGTAAGTATTTATCCTTTTTATGCCATTTACTTCGATTACTATCTTTGTTAAAATGAACCTAAAATTCATTGCTTAAATAATGTTCTAATTCTAAAAATGTCATTTTTTCATTAGGGAACTTTACAATTGTCTTTAGAAGATCAACATTAATTTCTTAGTCTTTAGATTCTCCTAATTCTTCGAGGAATTCAGTCCATTTTTTAGATTTCATTTAATTTAAAATTAATTATCTTTTTATTATTCTTAGCCCTCTATTATACTGAGGATATGAAGATTTAAATTTTTGACTCTGAAAGTAGTGTTCAGATTTCTGATTTAAAATATAGAATTTTATAAAAATTCATGGATTCTTAATTTTCATCAATTTAACATAGATTTTAATTATTAATTTTTAATTAATTTATTAATATGATAGTTTAATTCTCAAGATTATATTTATTTGTGTAAAATAAAAGATAATTATAACAAAGTTATCTAATAAAACTATTTAATATTAAGAGTACCTACCTCTATCTAGTAGAAATTACTAATTCATTAATTATTTCAATTCTGTATTTTCTATTGATTTGAGTAATTTATGACAGTATTCTTAATATTCTCCATGATATAAAATGCTTAATAATAAAAACACCTTAAAATTATGTATGATGTTATTGATTTCAAATTTCAATATTTAGTAAGATTTTAATTATTATATAAATATTTTTTATTAAATTCTATAATTAATCAAAAATTTTGATACACTTATAAATTTAATTTGATACTATCCTCATTATAAAAATTTTCTATCATTCAGAGGAGTGATGAGTTACAATTTATTATTTAATTTTGTAATTAATTGAATATATTGTATTATATATTGATTTTAAAATTTATCAACCACTTTTATTTGGACTAACAATTTATTATTTCATGGTTAAAAATGCTTCTCTTGCATCATTGATTTCTCTATTGTCTACTCCTAAAGATTGAAGAACTTAATCTAAAAGATTTAGAATTATTTCAAATTAAGCTTCTGTAATATTAAGTTTGCAATGATTTTAAAAATTTTATTATGATTTTACTTTTCCTCCAAATAAATACAAAACTACAGCATTAAAATGCTATGAATTTTTCTAAAAAATATATTAAATTAATATACACTCTTATCAGCATTTTAAAAAAGTGACTTTAATTCCTTATTATTTGATATACGATCGAATAATATTTATATCATCGGTTAAACTGCTTACTCACCACCTAGTCTTTCAATTAAGGGAACTTTTTATATACTTGCATCCAAGATCTTAGCTAATAAATAGAAAAACTATTACCACTTCCTCTATTTTCTGAATTTAATACTTTTATTCCAACAATACCTATAGCAGCAGCAACAGCAGCAATAGCAACGACTGCTTTATTGTTTTCTATAAAGTTTTGAATTTTTTGCATAAATATAATTTAATATAAATATATGATTGGATTTTACAGATCACTAGTGAATACTATTCCTAGATTTAACATAGTTTATGGCTATGTACCAAAGAGGTCACCCTTTGATAAAACTCATTACATTGAGAATTACATACCTAGATAAATTCCTTATCCAAAATCAAGAAGACCAAGATTACCATAATGGGATGATGAATAAACTATATGGCCAGTTATTCCTCCATCTCCAATTCAATCTAGATAAAAGTTGTTATAATAATTAGAAAAAGAAGAATATGAAAGACTATAAATAATCAAAGTATTATTATCATTCAATAATTAAAGCCTATGACATTTCCAGATTTTAGAGTAGGTGATGTTATTCAAGTAAAATGGATTCATAATATGAGTGAACCAACTATGAATACTTACTAAGGTTTATGTGTTGGAAAAAGAAGATCAAACTCATTAGATGCTTCATTCAAATTTATATTCAGATATTGTGGTGTTGATGTTTTCATGAATGTCAAATAAAATTCACCTTATCTTAAAGAAGTTACTATTCTTAAAAAGGGAACAGGTAATATTAGAAATAAAGTTGCTTTATTTACTAAGAGATTGGCTAAATAATAATTTATTACTCCAATTATGAAAAAAGGAAAACCAGTTAGAAGAAAGGATGATCCAATTCGTAAGAGAAGTTCAAGATCAAGAACTTCTATTTCAATGTTAAAATCAATAGAAGATCCATTGTTAGTTGAGAAACCTGTTGAAAAGAAAATAAAAAAAGTATATAAAAAGAAATAAGCAGAATAAGAAACAATAATAGAGCCAAATGAAAACACTAATAAATAATAATGAGTTTTTAAGTATACGTATAAATGTTGAGCATCATAATTATTAATTTTATTATAATTTATACTCTCTTTTTGATTTCATAAAAGTTTCAAATTGTTTACTTAAGATTTATGAATTAATGTTCATAGCTTTTGCTTTTGGAGATTTTGACTTAACATTCATAGCAGTTGAATTATATTAATGAATCTTTAAAAGATCAGGAGATTTTGATTTAATATTTGGAAATGCATTTTTGTTGTTCCCCTTAACATTGATTGAGTAAACACTGGAGGCAGGTTCAAATGTTTTTTTATTTTTTTCATTTTATACAGCTGATTAAAATTAAGAGAAATCGATTACTCCATAATTTCGATTTCCTTTTTCAGCTAATTTGTTTTTCCACATTTTTATATACTATATTAAATAAATTTTATTATTTATTTAAATACAAAAAAATAGTAAATTTATGATTATTATTATTATTGTAAAATACAAGGTTTGAGTTTAGGATTGTTAAATAATACATTACATTTCTTTTAGTAAAATCTAATTTAATATGCTCTTATGTTTATTATATAAATTTTAACTTTTATTCAAATGAATATTAATAAGTATAAGAATTGTACTATTTCTTTTTGCAACTAAAATTTTTTATTTTTAATATTTTAAGTGTTATTTATTTATTAAATTTATATACTCAATCAATTTGATCCAATAATTTATCTGATTATTTGTCTATTTATTTAGAATCCTCTTATTTTTATGTTGTGGTTATCTAACAATTCAATTTATGTTTTGGCCAATCACCAACTTAACAATCTTTGCTACAATACCATACTTATTTGCAACGAGAACATCTCTTTGTAGCTTCTTTTGTGCATTTCTCACATTTAAATCCATCAATAATACCTTCAAATACTGTATTTGAATAGAGTTCAGCCATTCTTTTAATATCTATTTAGATTATTAATATAAAATACCCTCTTTTATACTTGGATCATTAATTTAAAAATATTCTTCTTTCTATTTCTAAGCAATAGAACTCCAATTCTTATCTTTGCATATTGCCATACGTAATTCAGGCAATTACTGAACTACTATAGTATTTTTACTTTAAGTCTATACTTACATAAGAGATAACTCTTCCAAAGATCTCAACATATCAACAAGTTATGGAATTTAATCTAATAATAATTCATTCATAAATTTTCTTAATCTTAATAAGTTACTCTTTTTAAAATCATTCAATTCATATTTCCTTCTACTTTCAGGATCCATAAATAAATTATATATTGTGATCCACAATTAAGCTTCAATTTTAGGTAATTTACTATAATCTTCTTTATTTAAAGTAATCCATTTTGATTATTCAAATACTTCTCTTTCATTATTATGATTAATTCTTAACCAAGGTTTCTCTTCAATCAAAGGAACTAGTAAAAAGAAAAAATCATTTTCAACAATTATTTGATGAAGTATATTAATTGGTAAATGCTTAATATGATCAGTTATAAATCTAATGATGCTTAAACACATCATTTGAATTTAAAATTCTACATTCTAAAATTGTTCATCTATCTCATCTTCCTTTGTTCTATTCTTATAATATTCAATGCTTTTTTTCTCAATTCTTTTTGCAGGTGGCCTAAATCTTTTTTACAATTCAGTACTTTTATAGTAAAGCTGTTAATTTTCTATTACAATAATCCACAACTTCAAGAATATAACCTTCTGATGCTTCAATCGAAGTTCTATGAAATAAGCAAATTTGCAACAAATTACAGACTATAGCTTCATGTTATAATACTGTATAAGATCTAATTGATGACAATTCTGTAAAATGAGATTTCAAATAAGGAAACACATATTGCTTCCACATTTCAGTCATTATTAAATCATAAATTAATGGTTTGATTTTATCAAAGGTACAGAAGGCTTCCATAATGAATTCATCAGATCTAGTTATTGCATTTATATGCGCTTAGAAGTTAAGTTTTTATAAAACTTCATCTTATGCAAACCACCTACTTATTTATATATTATTACTTTTTACATCCCAATTCAGTAATCTCAAATATTTGAAGACTCTCTATATAATGCTCTGCTTCATAAGCTGTCAATATATCACTCAATTAAATATTCATTTTATTTTATTAATAATTTAATCAAAAACTAAACAAAAAAGAACAATTGAATTTCTAACATAAATTAAATATTATAATTAATATTTACTTATTTTTCTCACAATTAATCATTTATAGATATTTACTATAACTACTAAAATATGAATAAATATCTAATTATCTATTAAAATAATAAAATTATTAAATTAAAAATGTACATTATGTTCAACAAGAATATGAGAAGTAATCTCATGAACTCTTAGAGGAAAGAACAATATGTTTAAATGAAAATCACAGGATTAAAAATAGAAAAGTAACTCCAATTAATTTAGAGTCTATTAATGAAATTTAACCACTAAAAAATAGACTTAAGATAGTATAAACCAAAAGAATTTGATAATACCTTCTAAAATGAATTGTAAATACAATTAAATTCTAAATGATCATATAAACTAATCAAAAGACAGAAGAAAACGAAGTTTATGATAAACTATAATAGACTTTTACACAAATGAGATTAAGTTATTATAGATTGATAACTCATTTGAAAGATAAATATTCAACAAGTTACTTTTTAAAGATACTTAAGAACAAAAATGAATAAAAATAAAATAAATACATTTATTTAATTTAATTAATATGGCAACGAAAACTGATGATGCTGTGCTATATAACGGTGAAGATTTAAAATCATTTTATTTCCCAGATAAATTTGATCATCGATAAAGTGCTGTTCCAGGAAATCCATGTTATAACTTTAGATTCAGAATTTTTATTTTCTTTACTTATATTGTTGTTACACAGCTAGGGGAAATATTTGGTACTCCAAGTGATGACATTA